AACTGTTTATCTTGATGTGCCTAAATACTTATATTCACATAAACCGTGTTAAATGGAGTTTGGATATAAAGATGAGTTATGAGTGGTTTTTAGTTCTACCAAAGAGTTATCTCCCCTCTAATCCTCTTAGATTGTTTCATTTAAATAACTTGGAGGCATTCTCAAAATATTCACAAAAAACAAAAAAGACTGAAGGGAAGTCCAAAAAATAACCTTTTTTTTCCAGGAATTGCCAAACTAATCATCTCATGACTCCACAAATGTTTTTTTCGACCCTTTGAAAGCACCAAACCCCTAAGTTGGGAACAGCTACTAAATGACCTACCTGTATGGTGGTGAAAGTAATGAAATCAGCTCCACCTTGACCAGCTACAACCGTAAAGTTCTTCTTTCAGTATGCATTAATGCATTAGTATTAACTAAAAATGTGATACATACTAATATATCGGTTTTTTGAGGGACAGATTTTAAATGCAGGAGTTGTAATGGAGTATTTTTACATTGTGGTATTGGTGACCAACCATTAAGATGTTTCTTTGTCATTGTATGTATTGTATATGCTTTCTCGTGTCATGACTTTCTTGTTTATTTACTCAACAGCGGGTTAAGTGATGGACTGACCATATAAACCCTTTGTTCACCTAGGCGTGGTTCGTTTCCCACCATTCACCTAATGTGTTTTGTAACAGGAGACAGCAACTCATTGTTCCCACATATAGCAACAAAATGTTAATTTAAGAATTCAAGGAGGACTTGCTGTCACACCACATTACAATGACAGAAAAATCAAGTCATCGAGCTCAATAACAACATATTTTGGAAACATGTAATGCATTCATAATTTAAATTTTTCATAGTGACCCAGCTTAGCCCTGCAGTCCCCAGGCTTGTGAGGAGAGTTATGCAACAATATATGCATTGTAGTCTGACACAGACAATTTAGTTTCACTCACTTAAATGTGAAGTGAAAACTGAGGTTGCAAGATGAACTCTGGCTTTGTGAGTTTAGACCACGTAAGCAATGAATAATGGCATTTGGAGCTTTAAACTATATTATTTCTTTTTTAAAAAGAAGAAATAGTGGCCGAAATGGAAAACATGAAAAAGAAAAAATGGCAACAATTTTGATAAATGATGAATTGTTCCAGTTATTTTTTAAGTAGAAATGGCATACATTCACTGGATTCAGCTTCTCAAATGTGAAAATGTTCAGCTTTTCTCTGTTATTTATAATTGTAGACTGAATATCTTTGGCTTTTGGATGGCTGGTGGGACAAAATAAGTAATTTGAAAATATTATCTTAGGCTCTTGGAAACTTTGATGTGCTTTAATTTTACCTAAATTTTAATAGATGTATTGGGACACAGACCTATTGAAAAAAAGGATTTGATTAACATAGCCAGAGGTAAGGGTAACAAAAAGAACTAAAACAAACACAAAATGACAAAAACAGAATAACTGTGGAAATAATATAAAAATAGTCTCGCCAAATATTATTTATATTCTAAATGAAATTTTTATGGCAAACTGTTTCCATTCAAGGTAAAACCTTCTAAAAAGTTATTACTCAAAATATGGGCTTTATTCACTAGGCCCTTGACACTGAAGAAGAGGGAAACTATTGTGCCACACTTCTATTGCATCCTGTACAGGTAGCGTGTTCAGGAGCTTTGTACATCCTCTCTGGTGTATTGTTTTCTACAGTTCATCCTAGAGGCAGTAAAAGACCAGTAAAAATAAAATAAACTCCTTTTCCCTGGAAAGCCAGCATGCTGCCAACCCCTCTGATTTTACCAGAAACAAAAACATTTCCTGTTTAATAAATCAGTTTCCCTCAATTGTACTTATCCTGTTGATTAGAAGTAGAAAGTCTCTGGAGGAAAATTAATACTGTCCTGTTGCCTTGTTGTGCCTAAATAAAAATAAAAGAATGCACGTCACATCAAATAAACAACCAAGTGACTTCCCTTTACTTACTCTTTTGGGATGGGAAAAACGTAATAGTACTGAAAAGATTTATCTAAATTGTTTCAATCAGCATCCTTTAGGATATGTTTGTAATTGTTATCATTTCACAAATTCTGCACAGATCTGATATCAGCAAACACAATGCCTTAAATTGTGTGTAATACAGTAGATACGGTTGGCCACATCCTAATATTTACTTTCGGATTTTTTATTTTTTTTTCCAAAGGGGCTGAGCTTTCCCAAGTCAGACCATCTTCATGCAACCATTTAGAGAGCTGTTTGTAGACAATGACCAATGACAGAGGTGTTGTATTTCAATATTTAAAGGTCAGGATGGTGAGAAGGAAATCCTTCTGAAGTGGAAATACAGGTGCAATATGAAGAACTTGGCAGTACATGTGAGGCGTTTCCTCACTGCGGTCAAGTAGATGGATGAGAAAATGAGACCACGTATGAAAATAAAACTATGCATAAACTGATGTAGAGCTTCTTGTGAGCATGCAAGCAGTATAACTGCTGTCAGATAAAAAAAAATGCATCTAAAAATGTAAACTTTTCAGGAGCTAAAAAGCTTCCTTGTGTATAGCTAGCCCACCGTGTGTTTGAGTTTATCCAGGCAGGAATAAATCACTTTTATTGGCCAGAGGATGGAAGAATTTTCAAATTGCTCAAAAGGTAGTGCTTTTAATGTGAGGTAAAACATGAAAGAGTTATACGTTATCCCATTTAGTTTTCTGGTACTTCAATGGCAACAGCAGGCCCAAGCTGGCAGTTTCACAGTGAGGAAAAACACACTGAAAGGTTAAGATGTCAACGTATAAAATATATCCCAATACGGGGGGTCTGGTTTTTACATATGATGAAGGTTTAAAAACAGAACCAACAAATTCAGGACATCCGCAGACCAGGAAGGAGAAAGAAAACACCTAATCTGACATTTGGCCTTTGCAGGTCACCGATATATCACCCAGTCTGACATAGGTATGTTGGAGAAAGCTGTTAAAGCACTTTGTTGGGAGCAACAGAGTCACATGAGGGAAGTTCCACCTTCAGTCCAAAGCTGGAAATTCCTCAGAGAAATAGCGCTATACCAGTGCAACATGGTCATGACTACATTATCCATTCATAGAGCCGTGTTGCTGCTGCATCCTGTCAGCGCCTCAGAGCAGTCCTGTGACAGCACGAGGAATCTATAGGCAAGAGGAAGAGGCTCAGGGCAACTGGAGTGAAAAACAAATCCATTCACAGTCTAAACAAGCTCCATAGATCTTAGTGAAGGCTGAAGTTGCTGGCATCGGAATACAGGAACAGCTTTTACTGGATTTTAATGGTTGCTTTGTGACCAACAAAGACGAGCAACGGAAGTCATATATAAAATCATACAAATATTGCTCTTATTAAAAGTTATTAGTACTTGTTTTCAACACTGTCTTTAATCCAGTAAGAACTCAACAGGTGCTGCTGCTTTAAATACTCCTCCAACAACAGGATCTTGTAGGCTAATTATGCAAAAATTATTAGTGAGAATATATACTGAGTATAAATCTCACATGTGTATTCAAATGTCACTGTTTTATGGCTGCATTCAAGCTGGCTGTGTCGCTGGCAAACAAACTGACATGGCGCATTAGACAGTTCACTGACTTCATTGAAACTGTTTACTAAGTTAGTTTGTTGCTATAAATAGGGTTTATCAGCGTTGAAAGAGGGGAAACAGTAGTCCCTCTGTCCCAGCAGTGCTTTCCTTAGTGTATGAACAGCAGGAGAGTCCGGGGACCGAACTCGGGCTAATTAGCTAATTTATCAGCCCTGAAGGGAATGGCATGTGATTAAATCCAGTCAACAACAATCACTTTCTATACAAGAGAAGTTGTCATGATTTTCCAGAATCTTGTGAGAAGTAAATATCAGTTCTGGTAAACTAAGAAAAAGACTTGCAGGTAGTTTATCCTTGGTCGGTAGAATAGGACTAAACACATTACTCGAGTATAATTAGAGTTTTTATCCATTTCCATTTTATTGTACTTGGCACAAAAAAAATTATACTTACACTTTTCTTTGACAGCTACAGTTTGCAAATTAAGATTTTGCAATGCATGTAACAAAACATATAATCATGATATAACATTGCATGCTCTGAAATAGTACACAAAAGTAAATAAAGCAGGTAAAATGAGACTGCTAGATTCTTCTTTAGAACACATGAGTACATTTGGCTGATAATACTAATTCATTTATCTGTGGAGTATATTTACATTGAGGTATTAATTAAGTAGATGACTTAAATACTGCTGAAATTAAGTTCTTAACAACTGTGATCACGTCTGATGGTTGCATAGGCTCAGGATCAGGACGGCATAACCTAAACTGAAAATCCTCTGACAAGGAGAGCCCCCTAGTGCTCAGATACACAGGATCCATGCAGAGGAATTCTGACTCATTTTTATGGCCGAAGCTTTTATGAATGTGCTCCTGGCTTGTACACTCATTCTGTAAGATGATATAAAAGCTAGGCTTGCCTACAGAACTACACTGTCTGTTTCTTTATTTATATATAATAGTAAATGTCACTCAAACAACACAAAAGCTGTAACTAAATAATTTAACACTATGCATACCAGATTGGACTGTAACACATGTACTAATTAAATACAATAAACTTTATCAGTGTATTTATAATACTTGTATTTAAGTAAAATGTTGAATGCAGGGCTTTTACCTGAAGTGGAGAATTTTCAGTCACCTTTAGTCAAGTATCTAAATACTATTTTTACCCCTGAATAGCTCCACTCATACTGTCAACTGTGTGTCTTGGCTGTATTGGGCTACGCTATATAAGGTCCACACATACCCGGCATAGTAGAAGAATAACAATGATTAGAATTGAAGCACCTATTTTTAGGGTAATGAATATCCCTTAACAAGATGTGTTAGTGCCTGCCAATACAAGCTGTAAAGATAGTGCTTGAGCAATTCATTTACTGTAAAATGATTGTTTATTGTCTTCTCGTTTCTCTTGAAGCTCAACCCGATCCTCCACTGTTGCCATAGTTACCAAGTAACAAACTAGCATACTTGGGAAAGATCAGGAGCCAGACTTTTGCTTTCTACAATTGATTAAAAAATACTGATTACAAGGGATGGAGACTAAAAACACACGGCCCATTTTTCCTTGGTGAGTGAGATTTAACCTCTTTATTTTGGGGGCTTAACATAATGGAGTATTTCTTCATTAGCAGTCGAGTTTTTTATGGTTTGTAACTTAGTGAAGGTAGATAATTTACCATTTACCATAATTTAACATACTTTAAGTATTCTGCAGAAAGTCCCCTTTCAGAGTCTGTTATTAGTGGAAAGTGACTATGTACATTAACTCATGCACTTCGAGATGCTTCTAATGTACCTACTCAATTTTATGCAACTTTATGTTTTTATTCCACATCTCAGAAAGAAATATTGCAATTTTTACTCCACATTTATCAGACAACTATAGCCATTAGTTACTTTAAAATTAATATTTTACATATAAAACATGACAAGTTTATAAAATATAATGCATTAATGAAAAATAAAATACAAAACTGTATAAAGAAGTTAAATTTAGTCAAATGCTGCTTATGTGTTAATGCATCACTAATAATATTCCAATAATATAGCCTATAAATAATTATCAATCTGGAAGGGGCCATTTTGCTCAATGAATACTTTTACTTTTGCTACTTTAATTACATTTTGCTGCTAATAATTTTGTACTTTTAAATCTTGAAAGTGGGTATGTTACCTTATTAGATATGATTACTTTTTCCACTGGTGTAACAACGGCTTAACGTAAACATTAATTTGACCGAATTTTAACCTACTTGGTGTACTTTTTGGGTTTCATTTATAACATTGCATCATATTATATAAACTGAATATATACATTTTATTTTTAAGATCTTATAAGAATAAGAAGAGTCTTATTCAGTCACCAACTACAGATGTGGAGATGGCGGAGTAAGAAGTACACAGTTTCCCTCTGAAATGCAGTTGAGTGGAGGTAGAAATGAACATAAACATTCAAGGAGAGCACAAGTACCTCCTCCACCTTTAGAGCTACTCTGTCTGTTTGCTCCCCTTAACTGAACCAGCCTGAGGACAGAGAAATAGAGGGAAATGAGGGGAGGTGAGAAATACTTCAGATAATTCAGAGGAGTAGTAAAAGGGAGAAGGGAGAGGCAGAAATAGATAAGACAAACATTAACTAAAGGCATACAGAGACTGAATGAAAATGGTCACTGAGCTGCTTCATTTAGACCCACACTACATGGTATAGACTGATGCATTTCTCTGTTGAGAAGAGGGGATGCAACTGGACACCTCCCCCTATTATCAGCTTGCTGCTAGGCAGAGAGGCAGTGTCAAAGAGACTACAACAACTGAAATACACTGTCAGTATGTTGAACTCCAAAAGAACACAAAAGAAAGTGCCGTCAAACCAGAAGCACTATCAACAAAAATGAAGATGACTGAAATAGGATTGGATAAAATACTCGGTAAATTTATATCACAGTATCATCTGTTTTGTTGTACTAAATTTCCAACTAATTCTAATTCTGTTTCTAAAATTTCTAGACCAACTGATAAAAATAATAACCATATGATTGTTTGTTTTTGCCTTACAAATTAGGCTACTTTTCATCACATTCATGCAAAAATAATTTAAAAATTCAATCATACCATTAAACAGTCCTGTAATTCAAAATAAGGTTTGCCTTTCATGTAATATTTTCTTTCAGTATCAACCTGCTTTGTAGTTAATGCACATAACACATGCATACATCCACGATTAGTTACAAGCTTAATTGTGATGGCAAGATAGTAAGCAAAGGAAGGAATGGTTCAAAAATCACTTCAGTCAAGGCTCCAAATGTGAATTACTCCGAAGAGAAGCGTGGACCAGGAGTGCCCCTTTCCACCAAATTGGCTCTAGTTCTTGAATTGGTTCTGTTCAGGTCTCAACAACAGTCAACCAAAAATAATGTTTTTATTAGGAATAAACCTGCCTGAACTGTCCATAGCTGAAGGTCAGCCTACTCTGCTATATTTTAACATGGGTCGCATGGTCGTACTCGAAGAGCCTAATATTCTGTCAGGTGAAAGTTTGAGAAACACTGGCCAAACACGCCTAAAGATCTGAAAGGGATAGAGACCTTGATGTAAACAGTACAGCAAAATCTCTGTATGTCGTCATTTTGCCCAACTCATGATGATTTTAGGATCTTGTACAATTGACAGTGGTTGTACAAAACATATGCATCCCACACATTCTGTGAAAAAATCTATATTAGTGATCAGCAACAAAAAGTAAAAAACAAAATCTTCTCCCCAACTTAACAAAACTTGGATATGGTTTGTGGTCAGTACAGTACACCTGCAGCAACTAATCCTCCCTTTGCAAAGCTTACAAAGTTCAACTTCCAGCAGAGAACCAGTATTTCATTAGAGATTGTAACTTAATCAGGTGGAATCAGGTAAAAGAGCAGAAGACTACTTCAGTTTCTCTCAGGAAGAAACAGCAACACTTGGCCTGAGTTCAGACTGTGATGCTGCAAAATATGATATCACAATGAACTACAGTAGGCTTCGCTTATGAAAGCTGTCCAAGTTTAGAAAGATGGATAAGAGTGTTCAAGTGGGGAAATGTTTTTATAGGCTCATCAAATCCAAACACAAAGAGAACATCATGCACAGTATCAGATCCCAACAGAATAAACCCAGTTGTGAAACAACATGAAAGTATCCTGAATTATTATCAGGCCCTCGATAGAGAATATAAATTGTCTTATCATCTCCTTTTTGTCAGAGATGCAACACAGCGACTGATCTTCACTAAGTACAGGCTGAGTGTCCAACTGGCAAAACATAAAGGAGGATATAAAAAGACTCGGAGAGCAACGTGCAAGTGGTTGAAACAGAGACGCACATTCTGCTCAAATATGAAAAAGTGCAGTGCTGCTTATGGTACGTGAAGTAAAAACCAGTTCTCCTACTTCAACCTTTCAAAAGGAGAAACAGCTCCTTTTTCAGTCAGATATATCTGGTGACCTCCTCAAAATGAAAGGATAATGAGTCTCAGCTGCTCTCTGTTGGCCATTTACATTACATTATGTTATTATATGTCTGCTTGTAATAATTGTTGATACAGTGTGTGACATAATTCCTAGAGAACATAACTGTGGTGCTCAGTAGCAACAATACAGTGACCTTATTACACTGTTTTGTGCCTTGAGGCACGGCTATATTTCTACAGGATACATAGTTGCTACTGCAGCTTATTTATAAAGTATCCTTAACCACCATTATCTTTACTGGTATCTATATTGTTTCATGAACTTCTGAACTCTATCTTCATTTGTTAATCCTCAGGTACAAGGAGAGGTTGCAGACCAAGGATCTAAAAACCGCAAACAAGATTTTAGTAAACACGAGCCTCGATGACTTCAGTGATTGCTCGTCAGTCTTGTTCGGGGCCAACAGAGGTGTCTCACCGGTCATTCTCCGTGGCACTCCAAATCCCAACTCCAGTCAAAAACCTAGAAAGTGCATCTCTAAAGAGCATGCATGCTTCTCAAAGCAGATGATCCAAAAGCAGATTCGCAGAGAATATGTGTCTTCTGTAGAGGAAAAACTCAAGCAGCATCCTCTAGCTATGTATCCATTCTATAAGGATCACATCACACCAGAGGTAAGTGGAGATGACAGCAGTCTGGACTGCCAAGCTGTAGTAACAACAATGAGGACCAGTATTAAACAATAAGGGCAGGCAGATGAATGAATTAAGTCTGAATGAAGCAGTTTAATATGTTTATCAACACATTTACAGAGTCTCTTTAATTTCTCTCCAGTTATTTGATAAGGTGGTATCGGTTTTGGACCCAGACATGTGCGTAAACAGTGCCTCTGCACTTTCTACGCCTACAGTAGACCATGTGGAGGAGGAAGATGAGGAAAACTGTAAAGAGCCAAGTAAGGAAGAAGTGGACAGAGAAAAACACAATAAAATGCAAGTATACTGGCAGTTTGATTGGTAGTATAAATATAATCTACATTACTTTGCAACAATATTTATACCTGATTATGGAAAATAAGCAACTTAATACACAATTCTTCTTTTTACAAGCCCCAATGATCAAACTCCAACTCCCAGGAATCCTTACATACTACAAATGAATGCAAATGGTATCAAGAAGGGCCAGACGATCAAAGTAAATCAACTGAGTGCCCATAAGGACATGAAAGAAGCTGCCAAACTTTTCAGCAAATGGTTTGCCTCTCCGGTAAGAGCAAGTGAGCAAGTTTTAGACATTAAAGAAGCTGAAAAGATAACATGAATGTTACAGTTTGTCAGACCTTCCTCAACAACCAATGTCATGTTAAAATGATGATACATAAGAATTATGTTTGACTCTTGCAGGACGAAGAGACCACTATTACTGAATCTGCCATACCTGGCAGTTTTGACATTGGCCCTCAAGACTCGTTCCTCACCAACTTCCTCCCTTCGAGTGGAGAACACCATCAGTGACACAAGAATGAAACCCTGTCATAGCCATAAATAGACAGGACGGTTAGGTTTCAAAAGCCTCTGAGACAAATAAGGTACAAAAAGACTAAAGTTCACCAAATCGTAAGCCCACAAATAGTACAATATAATCTTTGATGGCTGCTGGGTAGAAAAATCCAAGAACAAGGAGCTGGACTTTGATATCCCAAACAATGTTGATGACATCAGGACTACAGTATCATCTCAAGACAATTCATGTCCCCTTTGCAGCATATGAAGCAGTTGGTTTGTTGACAACATGAGGAGTTGAAACAGATGTATGTAACTTTAGCTGCCAGGAGTTATGTAATCCACAATAGACTTTCTAATGCCAAGGGTAAAAGGCAAAACTATACATTTAGAGCAGGGGTTTTAAAGGCTCAGCGTCTGGGTTCACAGCATTTGTATAGAGGAAATGCTCTTGAAACTGCACTGTAAAAAGACAAGAAAAAGGAGAAGTGCATCTAAAATATGTCTCACTGCAGTTTCTGAATAATCTCCTTACTGAAGAGGAAAAAACGAGCTTCAGCAGAGGTTTGGGTCTGTTTCGTAATGCAGTATAAGGGAACACGGATAATTAAGCACTGTGTGTACGCAGAGGGGGGCAGAGGTTTTATGTTTAATGGGTGCCTAAAATTAACTTGGCCAGCTAATATAAAGACTGCATTATAGGCCTTTTTCACAGCAGCCATTTTGACATGAAATAGTAGTGTAGCACAGGTTTTACCAATGATACTGATTATGGTTGAGTTCCATTTAGTGTCGCACAGCCTTTCCACTGAGCCAACATACACAACAGCAGCACGCTGACTCTAATTGAGCTGAATGGAAAGGAACATTAATTTGTATCACTGGCAACACCTGTGTTTACCCTACTATTTCATGTCAAAATGACTGCTGTGAAAATTGTCTATTGTCAGCTATTCCTTCCTATTTGTATCATACTTGTCTATACTGTGTGTACTACCATATATACAAATATGATACATATACAAAATCTAAATATTGTTGTTTTTTTTTTTGGCATGATTCCTGGTATGACATGACAACTCAAACACATCCATTTAAAGAAAAAAACTTTATTTATAAAATAAATTACAAAAATGCACCTGATTATAAAACCATCCTTGACAAGTTCATCTGGGGAGCTGTCTGAAAGACAAAAAACAACAACAATGAATTCTGAGAAAACTGTATTTAAAATGTTTATGAAAACTTTGATGCCTGTGAGCTGCTGAAGGACACGTGTAGCAGGGAACTTCTATTGGTGAAATGGATTTCAGTTGCCTCATTATATCTTCAGACTTGTGTGCTACAGTTAATCAATGTGAGAAAACATCTATCTGTCTTATCATTTGTTATTGATCAGCAGTAAATATTTGACTTTTGTGTCATTGTTATTCAGCTTATCCCTCTCCTCACAGTAATTAAGATCTAATTAATGTGTATTCTCTTAGTGTTTTATTCTAAAAAAAAAAAGAAAAAATAATGTAACTGCTTAGTTTATTAAAACACAATCTGTTATCATACCATCATATCTGCTGAAATAATAAACTGTATGTTTATGACGTACAATATTAACAACTTACTGAAGAGAGGAGCCAGCCTCGGGTCTGTTGTGTTGTGTCAGTCACTGTTGGCTGTTTGGGTCAGAGGTCAGGAGAGAGTGGACGGGTGACCTGCGGCCCAGGGACATTAGCTGTGGGGAGGAAATGTTCCTCGCTGCAGTCTTTGGACTCAATATAAAACAGCCTAGAAAAGTCATAACGTATGTGTTAAGATAATTCAACATTGATATTGGCAAAAAAAAATATTTGTTTGTAATTAATTGGTCTATTTTATGTAACGCTACGACTTATGGTTATTTTCATTTTTGAATAATCTGCTGATCATTTTCTCATATAATTGGTAGGTCTATAAAATGTCAGAAAATAGTGAAAAAAATTGCAGAAAAAACTCAAACAAAACAATTCCAATGACATAACAAAAGAGAAAGGTTAAAAATCCTCACATTTAAAAAAGAAAAGCTGGAACCGGAGAATATTTGCTAGTTTTGCTTAGAGAAGGCTTGAACAACTAATCAATTATTAAAATAGTTGATTGTTTTTCTGTTGGTTTAGTAATCGTTGGAGCTTTGATGTTGTACGGCAGATAAACACTGCATTTATGAAAGGAGTAACAACAAACTTTTGTTGGATTGCATGACAATGACGAAGTTGTTCTGAAAACTCACTCTCACTGGAGGATTTGTTGTTGATTATTTTCCCGTTCAGCTCAGCCGTCTTCAGGAAATGTGGCTTGCTGTAAACAGTGTATGCACAAACACACACACATTACAGGGCGTGTAGCACTTTGCAGCGCCTTGCATGTTGCATGAGGGGTAATAGGTCACGTGGGTGGATGGTGTGACCATCTCTTAGCCTCAAGGCAAGTCATGCTCAAACAAAACAAAACACTAAGGTTTGGGCTCGCTCCCTACCTGCCACAGGTTTTTCTTCTAAATCTGGAGCCAGCTTTTTCTTCTTCGGTCTTGTCAGTACTGCTGAAGTTGGCAGGGTTATATTAAAATACACAGTGAGACATTACACAAGAACATATTCAGTCATATCTGTTGTGTTATAGACCATAACAGATAACTTAAGGTACTAAGGAATTTCTTAACCTATACAAGGTCACAACAGCTTGTCTACTCTTTTTATGGTATATTAAAGTGAAACTGACTTCCTGCCCATTTAGTAGCATCACATGATTTTCAGATGTGACCTAAGCTAGCCTAAGAATGAAGCTAATCCTTGCAGTGTGTGGGAACGGAGCCAGACGTACAATGTGGTTCTGTGCACTCTCTCCGGCGCAGACCTCCTTCTGTGAGAGCTGCTGCCGGGAGCGCCGTTATCTGTGTGTGGTCTGTGGTTCTCCGATATCACCCCTCGCAGCTCTTTGACGAGAGACCTGAGCTCCCGGGCGGAGCTCTCCCGATGCCTCTTTGACTTCAGCAGGCCACAGGAAGAGAGAAGGGAGAAAGACAATGTCAATGCACTTCTGTGGTGATGTCAATATTATGAGTAGCTGATCTGACTAGCTTGCCTCTGAGAATATGAGACAATCTCACAAAATCTATTTCTGTGACAAGTTCATGCTTAAGTGAGTAAAAAAACACAGAACTGTAGTAGCACTATAAAATTGAGAAAAGAACCAAACAGTATTTCACCGCTGTGTTAAAATGATTTACCGTCAGGTTTCTCTCCTTGCTACAGGAATGTAATGACGTGTATGTTTTCGATTTAAAGGCCTAGCAGATGTGCTGAGTTTGTGTCTGTGCAGCCAAATAAACAATGATTCACACATGCACTTGATGGGCTGGAACCGTAGGAGATAGGCGAGATATAGGGAGTTCCTGACAGTACCGTGATCTGGGTGTTGGAGGCTTGCTGGGAGGAGGGTGGAGCAGTGAGTGCACATGGGGACGGGGAGTCCAGGTCAGATGGAGGTATATTCAGAGCCGTGTGCAAATTTTGACCTTGGAGCTCCTCCAGAGAAGATAAAAATGGTTGTAAGATTTGTTGAAGTGGAATTCTGGCTAGATTGAGACATTATTAGGCATGAAGAGAAAACAGCTAAGGAGCTTAGCATAAAGCATTGAAACTAAATATGGGTATATTTTCACACATATAGGCATACTGTGTATAGGGTGGTTAAGTCTTATTCCCTCTTATCAAAAGACTCTATGTAGTCAGCTCTACCTTCAAGTCCAGGGCATGATGGAGTTTCAGACGGAAAAACTCCTGCTCCTGCAGCTGGATGAAATCTTGACAGTCTGCGAAGCTCTCTGTCATCTTTGGGAGGATACAGAGCATATGAAGCAATAACACAATGATGAACACAAACAGACAGAACAAGAGAGATAAGTTTCTTTTTTTGACCCGAATACTGTATATAAACTTAAATTTTGGTTGAGTTCCAGTGGGAGAGATAAAGAGATGATTTAAGACGGTTGTTGATCATGAGCCAAACTTTCCTAACTGTATGATTAATAATAATAATAATAATAATAATAATAATTAATCATATTTTGGGCATTTTATGCTGTTATTAGACAGCGGGCAGTAAAGAGATGAGAGTAAATGGTTAAACGGGGGAAGGAAATGTAACAACCCGCTAACTGGACACAAACCCGGGACGTTACGGTTCGTAGACAACACTTTAATCTCGACGCCACCATGAAACCAAACCATGTACTTTAAAATATTTCAGTGTGTACTGTCTTGACTTGACTCTCAATGCCAGGTATCATTTGGTGGTTACATATTGACAAGAATAAAGTGTAAATGAGCAGCACCTTGTGAAGGATTGCCTCCAGCTGGTCGATGCGATCCCTTAACTGTTTATCTTTGGAGCGAAGGGCCTCCAGCTCATTGCCAAGTTGTCTCTTCTCCTCTCTGACGAAGTTGAGTTCTTGGAGCTGACGCTGGTGCTCCAGGCTTTGGTAGCGCTTCTCCTGAAAGGGATAGGAAGAGTCCACAAAGAAAATGGAACAAATGGTGTGGATGAAATTCATTTGAATCTATCATTTGGTGGGATTGAGCAAAGTGGTCTCAATCCTTGTCTTGTCCAAGACCAAGAAAAAAACCCTAAAATGAAGTAACTGTTGAGTGGTCACTGGTCACTGTTTTATTTTTACCTGAGTCAGTGCCCAATTTATAACTGGAAGATTTTCAATGGTCATTAATGAGAGTCTTACAAAGTTAGCAGGTTATATTTTTCTTACTGATTTGGACCATATGATGTCCACGAGGTAAGGCAGTCAGAAAAAAACAGCACCAGTTTCTTGTGTTAAGTCCATTACATCCTATTTATTTTGGCTTACTGATACGTGCAGCCAATGTTCAAACAAAAAATGAAGGAAAAATAAAATCACATTAATATTTCAAAAAGTTATAAAAGTTTATGTAACACAAAACGGTTTTACATCAACGGATCAAAAGATCTAAATTTCAGTTGACTGATCCAGATAAACACTGGTACACTAAGTTTTTCACCTGGTACAGCTTCTCCATAGTCTCCTCTAAATGTTGGATTTTGCCCTGCAGGGAGTCAATCTGCTCTCTCCGGGCTGTAATCTTCTCCTGCATATCCATGGCAACTCGGAGGCCTGAGGTAGAGACAAACCAACCCAAAGCCAGACAGATAGACAGACAGAGGGCAGGGAGGTAATTAAGCGAGAAAGAACATCATGCACATAATATATAAAGAACATAAATCACAGAGCTTTAATCTTGGACAGGCTTTGCACCTATCATAGATACTGTATGTTCATATTTCTCAGATGATATATCTCAGACTGGAATGCAGCAGAGGAGGATATCTAATATTCACAATTTAACTGAACTATCCTAATTGCCTTTTGTGCAAGAGTTGACGGCATTCCAGATTTCATTACGATCCAAAGTAAATCACTGGTATCTGTCTACTTGATCACACATTTGATGTAAATCAGAGGAATTTTCTCAGATGTTTCTTTGTACATGAGATCTTCTAATTAAGCCTCAGTTTAAATTATCTGACCGTGTCCATCAGCTCCTTCCAAGGTCTTCAGGGTTCTCCTGACCTGGTCCAACTCATCATGGGCGTCCCTTAGCTGACTCTGAAGCCTCAGCACCACACCCTCGTTCTCCTCGTTCTTACAGCGGTGGAGCTGTTGCAGCTGCTTGTGCTCCTCTGAAATTGTGCCCGCACAAACACATGCGTTACATCCGCAGAGAGAAGCACACTTTAACACATAAGCAAACACACGCAACAATAGAAGGGCTTGGTTGACAGTAAAAACATACCAAAAATGGTTCTTTGTTTTTTAACACAGCAGGACAAGGAGATCATTTGATTTGGCAAAGAAACTGTGGGAGCTGAACTCTTTCTAGAAACAGCTCTGTGTAATTCCTGGTGAATGAAAGCGGTTTAGTTTGCTGTTTGGAGATTTAAAAAGTCCTACAGGTCACTATGGTTATTTTTCTTCTTATAGTATGGTAAACGTCCACATGAAATACTACATTATGTGCAAATTAATAAACACATGAGATTTTTTGATCCATGTGGACAACCCACGAACATTGTGGTGGAAAACTAATTCATAACTCATTTTATTCTCTGCTGTCCTTCATCGCGATTTCAAGTTCCAGATTCAGATTTGATTAGAATTGAGGATCGAGCTTTGGACAATGGTTTGCACTTTCTGTATATATTTCCAAAGCATGGAGTAGGAGGAAAATATGATAGACAGAAGAATTGGTATGAGCTGTTGCATAAATCTTTACTTGGGTTATGTTTGTTTATATTAGTATATGATGTTTAAATGTGTATTTATGTGAGGCTGTTTGCATATATTTATTTAATTGTTGGACATCTCCTGGAACACTATATGCATCCGGCTTAAATTTATATGAGGTTGAATTTGCTAGATGATTAATCCTTTGAGGTCATGTAAACAACCAGACACCAAAATAAAATGACTTATCCATTCAGTCATTATTATAGTGAGCAAGATATAAGTTTGTTTTCATAACCATAGTGTTGTTTATATGACGGATATTGGTTGTGTGTGTGGTGATTCATATTCAGTACAGCTCAACTCACTAGTGAAGGTGAGTAACTGCACATGGTGGAGCTCCAGCTGGGTGGTGAGTTGCTGCTTCTCCAGAGTTTCCTCCTGGACGCACTGACGTAGCTCAGCAACAGAGGCCTGCAGCCGCTGCTTCTCATGCTCTGCAGCAGCCAGGTCCGTCTTGTGCTGGTCTAACTCAGCCTAATCAGCATATGGCACAAAATGAAGGAAGAGAGAGAAAGAGTGTGAGGATAGGGATGATACAAGTTTACTTCAGTGATCTAATCATATGTCAGTTCAATTTTCTGCCATGCCCTTTACCCTGAGCTGCTGAACCTCCAGCTTGTGCTGGTTTAACTGGTTGCTAAGGAGGCTGCTCTCCTGGTGAAGGTTGTCAATGGTGTGGCTGTGCTGCACAGTCATCTGGATGCCGCTCTCCATCTGCAGCCTCAGAATATCTATCATCTTCTCTCGGTCATCCAGCTTCAGCCTCAGTGTCTCTCTGTCTGCCTGCAGGGTCTGGTACCGACTCTGAGCCTCTTCCAACCTGGCAAGAGCCTGGAAAAATCAGTTAATTCCAATGAGCCATTAAAAAGAACAGGCAGTTGTCCTCATGGTTTATATATAATCTAAATGGTTGATGTTTTAAAAGCCCACATACACACAAATCCACACATGCTTTCCATCGTTTATTACCTGCTGAGCTTCTTGCTGCCTGAGCTGGTGTTCTTTGGTTTTCTCCTCCAGGAGTTCCTGGGATTTCCTCCCCTCCTGGACCCTTTGCTCCAGCAGGGCCTGCAAGCAGGTTTTCTCCTCCCCACCTCTGCGAAGCTGCTCCCTGGCTGCCTCCAGCTGTCCTCTCAGGGCCTTTACCTCCTCCTGGAGCTCACACTGCTGCTGCTTACCGCACCTCTAGAGGATAAAGCAGGAGGCACAGTGGGTTGACTGTGTTTAAAGGGACAAAAAAATAATAATCTTTTGACAGTGTGAAGAAATATGATCTCAATGATCTCTGTGTTTTCTGAACAGTTACACCTGTCCTACACGTTCAGGAGACAGTGAAGTCAGTCAAGTGGTAAAATGCCACCAAAATGAACAGGAGCGAATGAACTTGGACTTTAGAACAAGAACAAAATGTACTTTGGATTGAGAGATCAATGGGTAGCTAAAGCTCCAAAAGGTTTCTGTGTCTTTTTTTTAAATGTGCTGACCCCATTTTCCTACAGTGCCAACAAAGAACTATATTTTGGTCATTATGAAAAGAGAAGGAAGTTTGAACATTGCCCAATCCTAATGTCAAGGTACACATTAGGGCTGGGGATATAGCCTGCCAAATGGACAACTTGTGCACTAGTTTATGCAGCATCAGTAACTGCACTTGAATGGGCAATATGGGGCTTCATTCATTGATGGCCTGTAACTAGTGACAGCCGATTATCTGGCATTTTGAGATCATTGGCACAAGGCAGATAGACAAAAAATGTCTTCAGACAGATCTACAGGCAGCCTTGTCACTTGCATTCTAAATATTGGCAGCAGCCAGTGAAAAACCCATATCGGTCGACCGCTGCCTATAACTGCACAAACCAACTCACTAGTTAACTAGTGGATTTTTCAAAGATATTATCCCTATTGTCTAATTATAGTACACATACACTGCTTCATTGGTGTATACATATACATATAGCATCAGAGCAAGGATGGACCAGACCTTAACATTACCACATCTAGAACCTGCCCCTAGACCCTGGCCTTCTACTGTTGGCATTAAATTAGACCCTAAGGACCAAAGGGGCAAAATGTAATTTGTTAAGAGACAGAGCATCTGTCATTTACGTTTCTTGCCCATTTTCACATTTCTACTGAGAAAAAAGTGCACATGTATATATACACAGACTTTTTATATTCTATTGTATATAGGTTCATATTTTATTTTAGTTTTGTTGTATTTTATTCTATTTTCTTTACTGTTTGTACAACATTCCTTTGTGCGGCTGTGTCAATTTGAATTTCCCCTATGGGTTATCAATAAAGGAACATCTTATCTTATCTTAAATGTATAGTGGACCTTATTAGGACAGGCAGTATAGCCTCAGTTAAGAAAACAAGCAAAACCCATCCCCTAACCAGAACCTCTATTTGAGCCTTTCAATCCTCTTTCCACCAGTGTCTCAAGCTGTTTCACCAGCAGATTACACACCTCCACCTCTTTAAGTCGCTCCATCATCAAGTTCCATTCAAATTACATCATTTAATGTCAACTTTACACTTCAGTTTCCACCTTAAACAGTGTTTTTTTTATGTAAAGATGCTGGTTTCACATTCATGGTTTGCTGCAGCACCTGAAGTTGGCCAAGCTGGGACTGAAGCTCATCTGCCTGTTGTAAAGATCGCTCCCTCTCTATGTGGGCGGCCACCAGCTGGGACTGAGCCTCAACGAGCTGCTGCTCCAGACGACAAACCTAATGTCACAAGTCACATTAAAAATATTTTAGTTTTCATCCTGGCATAGGCAGTACCTGCATGTTCTGGTCTTGTCCACATTCATTACACTGATAATGGTGTTTGGAATTTAAAACCGGCACGATCTTGGAGAAGTTAACATGTTGGCTGATGTGTTTGTCTAATCTCTAAGCCACTTTGACACTCTCTTAACATCTAATGAAGTGGATACATTCACATTATTATTCTTCAAATCTTTATTATTATTATAATTATTATAACTATTATTATTGCTTACATTATAATATATTATACTCAGAGTATTACTGTACATTCTTCCTTACCTTTTCTTTATGTCCAGAGAGGGTTGACTCAAGTTCCCTGACCTGACACTGGTGCAGCGATGTCTGTCGCTCTGCAAGTTTCCTGGGCACAGAAATTAAACATATTTTTTAGCACACACACATTTATTCAGAAACATTGTCTGATCATTTAAGTAAGAGGCCTTTGACTGGAAATGCTCTTAGAAAAAAACAGGCACTAAATGATTTGGGAACAATACTTACTTTAGCAACTCCAACTTGACACTTAAGCTGACACTGTTGTTTTTTGATGAGCTCAGTTTGTCAGTCAACAGCGCCATCTCCTGGCCAAGACTTACAATCAGTTCTTCCATTCTAGGATAGAACAAAAACAAAACACTGTGATTGCAATATGATTTGTGATTATGTGGGAATTCTCTTTATGCATCACACATTTTTTCACTAACTAAATAATTAAAATTATGACGGTGTGACATTTTTGGGGGTCTGTACCAAACACACATATTTTCTTAAAACTGGAGAACAAGATCTGTAGGCCAGAACATCTCTTTAGAACTACAGTACTTCATTATAATGCTGTTTTGTCACACATCTGCGATGTGCATATTGTTTCTGCAATGTGCATATTGTGCAGGCCTACAATAACTTAATTTGGTCGTGAGAACACTTGCTCTTGTGGTCTGTTGCTTGTAACACTAAGAAGACTTACTGGTTAGGAAATACTCCATGACTGATGGTTAACAGGTGAAACCCCATGACAGCCTATGTACACCTGCATGTCCTATTCTAAGCAATGAATTTTGCTACTACTTGATCCAGATGTGACATAAATTTTGCTAAACCAAACTATGCATACGACCGTATTATAAGAATAGAAACAAAATATAAAAATTTTAATAATAGGAACACTTCTTATGATTTTAATATGCAAAAACTTTAAAACGTACGAAATTAACTCTTATTTCCACTGTTGATTCATTTGATGATTATTTTCTCAATTACTTGACAAATTGTTAGTCAGTAAAACGTCAAAAATATTGAAAAATACAATGTATAATTTACAGTTAAGTCCAAGGTGAAGTCATAAAATTTCTTGTTTTATGCGAACCAACCAAAAACCTCAAGAAATGACAACAAAACAATGAATCTATTATGAAAAAAGTTGCTGATTTATTACTGACTAAATAATTAGTCAATTAATCGTTGCAGCACTATATTAAATACCTTTCTTTTTCCTTATTTACTCCGCTGCATTCTTCGCTCCCCAGATGTTCCTTTGACTGCCATAAAACAGATAAAATCAGACATGATAGGATGAAAGGTATAAGTCTAGGACTGAAGTACACTGACTATGATCTGTAACTGATATATAGTACTTACCAAAAAAAGTCTCTCCTGTATCTTCTCTGTCTCTTCGTTTAAATCCTCAGTTAACTTAGCAGCCGGGGATAGCTGTCTTGAACCAGTGGCACCATTAGGGCTGGTGATGGCATTGTCTCTGCATTGTTTCTCATTCGATATCAGTGAAGAGTAAATCTCCTTTACATTTCGTTCCAGTGTCTCTACTTTCCTGTTAAGCGCCAACGCCTCATCCTCTGTCTCCTGCAGCTTCTGGTCCCCAGCCCTTTTGATGTTTTGGAGCTCCTCCAACATGCACAGCATCTTTTCCATCTGACCAACGTGTTTCCTCGAATCCTTCAATCTACAAATAAAAAGATCTGTGTGTCAAAGTGATTTTAAACACTTTCTTTGTAGAAGTGAAATTGTATCAGTGTGTTCACCTGAGGTCAGACAGGGTGTCCTTCTCCATCTGGACTTTATGCAACTCACTCTGCATGTTCGTGATGGCTTCGTCAAAAGTGAATGTCTCTTGTTTGGGCTGATCATGCATCTGTGTTTGAGAGGGTAACATAACAAATTACATAGAGAAAGCATTACCAATTCAGTCATTCAGACAGCATCAAACTGATAAGATTCATATTTGAAATAAAAGTATGAACCTTGTTGAGCTGCAAGTCAGACAGCTGTTGCAGACAGTCACCGATTGCATTTTCCAACACCTCCCCTCCAGGAGCGCTGGCATCTCTTTTGGCCAACCCTTGGTTTAAACTATTCAGATCACAAAGCAGGGGTTGAGTCCCTACCTGCTGGTGAGTTAAAACACTGGTGGAATCCCTGGGTGAGTCATCTGCCAAAAGAGCAAAGGACATTATAAACATACTGTGTATGTTATCAAAGTTAAGGGTTGGTGAAACAGTTACATAGGCTGTGCTTCTGCTTATCTTGAAATATTAAGATATTTTGTGTTTTTCCCTTACATATCTGTTATTTAGATAACAACTTTTTCTGCGATTCAACTTTCAGCTTTACAACTGTGGATGGTTTTAAGTCACAATGTGGGTGTTGTGAAAAGTAAAACAAATAAGCCCTTACTTAACACATAGTTATATAGTTATTCATCTGCCTGGCTACTGCAACAAAAACAACATTTTAGATGATGATGTTTGTACTCACAGACATTAAGCCTGTGGCTGTGGCAGCTTTGTCCAGGTGGGCTGTGGATACCATATTTGCAGCCAAGCCTCTCCAAGGTTAGTTTGGTTGCATTTTCCACCTCCTCCTGAAGCCTCTGGGTTTCCTTGGTGCGCCTGTCAAGCTCCTCACTGTAAAAACATAAAAAATAGTTAACAGGTTATCCAAGAAAATTATTTTTTTCTGTTAATGTGGACATTTTTGGTTAGTTAAGTTCGGCATTTTGGCATTGCATGAAATCAGAAGGCGTGCTAGCTCGCCTACAGTACCTCAACTCCTCCAGTGTCAGGCTGTTAAATCTCAGCCGAAGACAGGCATCCTGGGTCTCTGTAAAGAAAGTTGAACCGCAAAAGATGTTCACAAAACTGTCCTTTAGGTAAGTTAGTACCCCTACATTAACATTAGTTAACTTATGTTACCTGTAACTTACCAGTTGTCCCTGCTGCTGCTGCTGGTAACTTTAGTTCTGTATGGTTGGGTAAAAACTCAATACTCTGAGGATCAGAGGACGGAGACCCCAAAGACATCTCTGTTCACATAAGTAGTCAAGCTGTCGATGTAACGTTAACTATTAAACAGTAAAGTCAAGTATCTTAGCTAGGTTAAGCAACTAGCTAGCTAGGAAGTTGTCGTTAAACGTAAACTAACGTTTCATCACCATGGAAACAGCATCCGTAGCTAGCGTTCTGAAATCAATAATTTGTCGTTTTTTAGCGCTAATAGTTCACTTAGTTAACATTGTCTGTCTGGCTAAGTTAGTCGGATGTTTGGTTAACTAAAGCTGACAATGAAACGATAGGAAAAGTAACGTTAGCGCCGACACTTTGAAATAATCCGTCAACATCCGCTTTTTCCTACAGTTCAGTATGACGTAGAGGCATTTTCAGCGGTGCATGATGGTCATTGTCGTTTACGTGCAGATCAGGGGTTGTTTGTTTATTCAGGGCGGACCCTCTCTGTTCAGCAGGGATCAAGGATCTTGTTTTTAACACTTGCCGCCCATCACCCATAATCAAAACGCAAACATGAAGAACTGAGAAGTGTGATTAAGTTGCAGCGCTGTTTTTATCCTGCACGTCGGCGGCTTCCGGACAAGGTAGGACGACGGTTTGTTGATTTACGCCAGCAAGCTAGCTGAGTTACGTGAGCTAACATTAACGTTGTTTGTGTTTGTGATGCTTTTAGCTGTGAGGCATTTATGGGTGTTGTTGTTTGTTTGTTTTTTAGCTTAACTTTATATTTGAACATCCGAATAAAGTTAACAGTCTATGCTCATTAATTCAACCTGTTCTAAATGTGTGATCGTGTTTCTGCTGGGATGGATTATGTGACCTAGTTTCTGTTCAGTAGACATTTAAGTTACATGTATTAGCCCAGACTTATGTCAAAACTGGCTTTAGCGCTAGCCAGTTATTGCTTTAGCATATTTGTTTTACACATGGTTTCAATTAAGCAGTTTATATTATTATTATTATTATTATTTTAACAGTTTTATAATCAAATAAGAGCAGGATTTAGGTTTAGGGTTTTGGCGGTGGGGGTACTCTTCCAGTGATACCTGACACCCAGTGGGTGTGGTCTAGGAGACATTCAGATATATGTCCACTCACCCTCACCCTGTGCAGAGGCTTTCCTCTTCCCCTGTCTCATACAGTTTTCTCTTGGATTGCAATGCAGAACCTTTGAAATATGTTGTTTTTCAGGATGAGGGATCTTCAAGCCATTGACAGCTTGCTCTTGAAAGAGTTGAAGTCATGTTGTGCAAAAGAGTACAACTTTCTTCCCAGAGAGACTGGCCTGAAGCTTATGGAGTCGGCCTCCACAGAGGTAACCTACTGACCTAATTCTACATAGTTGGCTGTCTGTGTAGACATATGGGTTTGCTCAAAATAGATGTAATTTCCAGTGATGTCTTTGTAACATTTAGTGGTGTATTTTCAGAATCACAGCGGAGTGTCTGCAAAATGCAGAGACACCAGAGTGGAGGAACTGTGGGGCCTGACCAGTTTCTTTGGCTACAGCACCCAAACTTTTGTTCAAGCTGTCAATTTGCTTGACAGATTCCTGACCATTATGAAGGTAGGAATTTAACAAAGCAAGTGTAATATGTTGTTTCAAGTTACAATATGAATCTGAACATTGTTTTTATTAAGCCCAGTCTACAACTATACATAGTTAAAGGCGGGGTCAGTCATTCTGAAGAGAGATAGTTGATGAGTCTTATTCCCAGGTTGTCAAATACAGACTCTTAAGCAACCCAAAGCATTGCTCTCTGACAACCTGTGAATGAGACACAACAGTCTTATGATTGACCCCACCTTTTAATATCACCAGTCAGACGAAAGCACGACCACAATGACCTTGTTTGACCTTGGATCATGAGATATTGACTCACACTTATGTGTATTGTGTCACTGTGATAGGTGCAGCCCAAACATTTGCCCTGTATTGGAGTGTGCTGTCTTCACATTGCTGCCAAAATGGTTGAGAAAGAGAGCAATGTCTCACCCACCCATGAACTAATTCGCATCAGCCAAAGCAAGTTCACTGTGTCAGACCTCTGTCGCATGGAGAAGATCGTCTCGGAGAAGCTCAGTGTGGAGCCTGAAGCAGTGACAGCCTTAACCTTTCTACACCTCTACTACTCAGCCTTCACATCCCTTTCTGCGGGAAGGTACACATTTCATTTTCTTTTGCTTACTTTTATTATTGTTACTGGTGCATTGCTCCAGTTTGCATGGAGTTGGTCAATAGATTCTGCTTTATGAGGTTTGTACTGGCGGATCACATTAGGATTCCCTCTATATTTTAAGGGAGGAGATCCCAAGCATTGGGAGACTGGAAGCCCAGCTAAAAGCCTGCTTTTGCCGGCTTGTTTTCTCTAAAGCAAAAGTAAGAATTGTACTCAGGCGACAATTTCACAGTATAGCAGCATTCACTATGACTCCCAGGATTTACTAACCAGCTGTTTGTCTCCTTCACAGCCATCAGTGCTGGCACTGTCCCTCATTGCTCAGGAGTTTGACGCCCTCCAGTCCACCACCATGTTGAAGATTGTCCAGCAATTCCAAAGACATGTTAAGGTATAAAAAGGACAACTGCTGCAACAACTGATTCTCAATTAATCAGTATTGTTTGCTCTATAAAATGTCTGCTTATAGTGAAAAATTAGACCACACTGTAATGTGTTCAAATGTTAAATAGTTTTGTCTGACCAATGCTCCAAAACTTAAAGGTTATACAGTTTACTGTCTTAGAAGACTAAAAAGTGAGGAGAAAAGCTCGAAGAGATACATTTTTTGTTAACTTTGCAACAAACAATGAATTGATAATTAAAATTTTAGCCAATAAATTTTCTATCGCCTAATCGTTGCAGCTCTGATATAATGCTTCCATTAGGTTTTAGTGTGATGTTAAGATTTTTCTTTGTTTCTCTGGACTTTATCACGTGCTGCTGTCAGAGTCTGAGAGACTTCATCATTTTAGCACCGTACTCTGTCTTAAGACTAGAATGGCATATTGAGTGTTATGTATGTATTTAAATCATTTCCCCCTGGGATTTTTAAAGTATTTCTGATTCTGATTCTGATTAAGTTGCTCATTGGCTAGTATGGTGAAGTTTTGTTTCCCACTTCCTCCAATTACAGCATTTCTTGCTGTTCTTCACTTTGTGTTATAAATAGAAATTGTACATTTTGGCATGATGGTGTCACTGCCTGACAACGTGATTTGTTGATGACACTTTATTTGAAGACTATTTCTGTCTGCAGCCCCTCAGATGTTTCCTGTTTGTCTTCTTCACAGATCAGCGACAGCGAGCTCCTCCACTGGAAGGAACTTGTGGCCAAGTGCATGACTGAATACTGCTCAAGCGAATGTAACAAACCAGACAACAAAAAGCTTGTTTGGATCGTGTCCAGGAGAACAGCTCAGAATCTCCAGGCCAATCACTTCAGTGTACCTGGCCTGCCAACTATCCCCGAGGGGAGCTGGGACGAGAGTGAGAGGTTAATAGAACAGTTTTTCAGTTTTCTTCACGCTGCATTTCGTCTGATTGAATATACTGTGCTTTCATTCTTGACTGCCAATGAACTAACTTTTAAGTCTACTGGAGTCCTCAAATGTATGACTCAGAAAATGCAGCTGCTAACATCCATTTATAAAGAAGTTCCATTTTAAAATTGAACTGGCTCTTTTTATGGTTAAATGTGTACTGGAGACCACAGATTATATTTTAAGCTTAAATTAATATTCTGAACAAGGGCTGCAACGAACAATTACTATTTTTATTGATTCAACTATGAAATTATTCTTTTGATCAATCTATTAGTCCATAAAAGACCAGAAAATAACATATACTGTTGTGGTGACCAGAGGAATCAGTTCCGCTGTATGCTGTGAATTCAAAGTCAATATTGATATGTAGCCTTAATATATTTACAAATGTTGAAATCTAATGAGATTCAATGAGGAATTTGAAAAAGATTCAGTTCTGGATTTGAATCCAGATTGATCCTACAACAGTAGTAGAATAGTTCATGATCATATGAGTGTGGATTTTGTATTTAACGACACTACTAACGGTCTCCTCTTCTCTCGCAGCGAGGACTCTTGTGAGGACATGAGCTGTGGAGAAGACAGTCCATGGGGCTCGCCAGGAAGCGACGGCGAAGGAGCCTTCTTCCCCTCCACCTTTCTCAGCTGCAGAAAGTGATGAGTCCTCAATGTGCAGTAGCAACCGATGTCTATTTGTCCCCTGAATTGTAACTGATTTTAAGGTGGTCACCGTGTTTCAGAGCAAACCTGAGTGTTTCACTTGTCATACCGTGTGTACTGTAGGCATGTCAAGTGACAGGTTTCGATCATTAAGTGCCTGTGTTACTTCACGTTACTGTCTGTTTCTTTGAAAAAAAACCCAACATATCGTAATAATGCGAAATTGCAATATCTTGGCAGCTTGATGGTAATACATCTGAATGTCTCTTTTTCCCAAGATGTTCTCTTTGTGTTTGTTTGTGTCCGAACTCGGCACATTCCAGGAAAAATAGTGAAGCACAAGGGAGAATTTATGGATGTCAGACATGAGGTACACTCTCTGTTAAATAAATACCAGCTAACATACTAGCACATCCTAAATCTTTTTTTAAGTTTTTATACTCCATACCATCAATATATACAGTATTCTGCAAATGTATGTTATACACAATTCTAATGTGACATATATGACATTGTAGTGTGAAAATCCCAGACTATATGCATGGATACAATGAATCACGTGATTATGAATGGTTGTTGTCCATGTTGACCAAGATAAGCTTACTGTAAAAAAAAATGTTAAAAAAATGTACATAACCTGTAAAAAAAGAAGAAAAAAGTGTATGTTTTGTGAATGCTACACAATGTGTGTTGTATTTGGATATAATGTGAACCATGTTGGAAGGGTCAGAAATCATCCTTCCAAATAAAGAAAGTACTTTTTATCTACATTTTCTTTGTTTCAGTTCACTTTTACTGCTTTTATTTTGAATTGTCCACTAGTGGGGAACTGGTTCATATAGTGCCTTTAGTTATTTTATAAACCTAATTTAAACTGAATACAATCTGACCAGCGAAAAAACAGGTCAAGTGCATTTCTCGTACCTCAAATTTACTTAAGTGGTGCTCAGATTAAAGAGCAGAGGGTACATAATAGAGGGATTTGACTGTCCCATTCACTTTATTACTGGGCTTTCCTTTATGCTGAGAGCTGCAGTGAAGCTCAGTGTGTGTGAGTGTGTGTGTGTGTGTGTGTAAGAGAGAGAGAGAGAGAGAAGTGGTTGTGATACTGCTGGCGGTGGACGGGGCTTGTCTTTATTTAGCTGGCTGGATGTGTTGACACGCATTTCTGCTCCATCTCCTTGATTAAACCGGTCGCGGCGGAGTGTGAAGCGGCAGCAGCATTCAGGGGGGCTGGGCAGGCAAGAGGAATGAGATCGGACCGAGCCGCGGCATCTTCACCATGCAGCCGACCACAACCACCACCACCACCAGCAGCAGCCGTCCATTTTACACAACTATATGAGCCTCTAAACGAGCCGATGAGCGCCAGTTTGCTCGTATCTTGCAGACGGACAGCAGCAGCAGCAGTGTGCGGTCCCGGTGGCGATGACAACATAGGCCAACGCCTCGCTGCAGCTACGTACAGGGAATGAAAACGCTCCCAAGATGGTCCGCATCGCCAAGGCCCTGGGTTTGGTTATTCTGTGCGTCGCTGTGCTCATACTGTCGCTCATCAGCTATGTGTCCCTGAGAAAAGACAGCCTCTTCTCCTCCTCCAAATATTACATGGGAGGACCGAGGATTATGTTCCATGCAGGATTTCGGTGAGTTCTCTTCTTTCTTTTTTTTTTTCCAGCGGTGGAGGTGATGCAGATAAAGGTTGTTGTTGTAAATATAAACAGAGGAGTCGGGCCTAGTGTGCACGATTCAACGTGGAGGTGATGCACACATCACTTTCCTTTCTGTTTGGGCCTTATGCTTCCTGTCGATGAAACTACGAACTGTCCGAGGTGCTGATTGTTGCTCTGGGCGATGCATGATATAGGTACAGTACCAGTACTGTATGAAGGTTTTCATCATCATTACAATCAGCTTTTGTATGGACACAGATAATGTATATTGCAAAAAGCATATAATGCCATACACAAGTGTCTGTAGAGCAAAGAGTGACTGCTACTCTATGTACATGAAGTGGGTGAATATGTACAGTATATGCATGTATACATGTCTATATACAGAATATACAGCATGCTTATATTTATATTTGATACATGATGATGTTTTGAAACTATAAAATGACCTATATAGTTTATAATGTAGGGTTTCTGAATTGTTTTCAGACACTATATGACTGATTTAAGTGTTCATAACTTTACATTTTATGGCTAAAAAGACAGTGGTAGAAAGTAACTAAGTACATCTACTTAAGTACTGTGCTTCAGTACAATTTTGAGGTACTACTACCTGGTGCTACTCCAAGGCAAATATTATAGCAGATATCAGGTGAAACCTTTGCCTAAATACCTGGGAAAACAATAAAGACTAAACATAAATAAATGAGAGAGTAAAGCTTCAGCAGTTTACACACAATGGTGTCTCAGAATTGTATGTTTTATGATTGTTGTTCAAAGGTCTCAGTTTGCCATGAATTTCCTGGACCCCTCCTTCATCCCCTTAACTAACGCCCTGAACGAGGAGCTCCAAGGAAAACCGTCCAAATGGAAGTTCAACAAGACCGCTTTTCATCAGCAGAGGTGAGAGTATAAACAGGAGACACAGAATGTCCCCTGTGACTGTTAAACTATTATATATTATATAATTAGATTAATATTAACCATTCATAAATGTAAACGCAGCATTGTACTGTTGTAGTTGGTTGAGGTGGAGCTCATTTTGAAGTATTTGTATAGGACTGCAACTAGTTATAATTTTCATTATTGATTAATCTGCTGATTATTTTCTTCATTAATCGTTTTATTGTCTGGTTTGTAAAAACTGAAGAAATCACAAATATCCAGAGCCCAGATTGACATCTTCACAGTGCTTGTTTTGTCCAATCAGATGTCCAAGAAGTGGGCATTAATCTGATGAATTCACTGGCTTGAAATGGTCTCGAATGATAAACGACTATTGTTGATTACTGGGTCAGCTAATGAAATAATCTACTAAACTGCTCAGTAAGTGATAGCTAGGCACAATGTCTTGTGGCTGAATCATATTATTATTTATTGAGGATGTGGTGACTTGTGAAATTGGTTATTGTGTGTTGGCTGGATGTGATGTGATGATTGTGTTGGATCAGATTGCCTACAGAAATAACACACCACCAAACACAGAAACAGGCCAATAGATTTAAAGGTACATCCCCTGTAGCTGCCTGTCACAACATTAAGGTATTTTTCTTTTTTCAGGAAGGATATCTTCAGCTACATCGACATTCCCAAAAACTTCTCCCTCACAAAGAACAGTGTGCGTGTTGGCCAGCTGATGCACTTTGACTACTCCAGCCACAAATATGTGTTTTCCATCAGCAACAACTTCAAATCCCTGCTCCCAGACACTTCTCCTATCCGCAATAAGCATTACAGCATATGCTCTGTGGTGGGCAACAGCGGTATCCTGACAGGCAGCCACTGCGGGCCGGAAATCGACCAGGCCGACTTTGTCTTCCGCTGCAACTTCGCCCCCACGGAGGTCTACTCCAAGGATGTGGGCAGGAAGACCAACCTGACCACCTTTAACCCCAGCATCCTGGAGAGGTACTACAATAACCTGCTGACCATTCAAGACCGGAATAATTTCTTCCTCAACCTGAAGAAGCTGGAAGGAGCCATCCTGTGGATCCCAGCCTTCTTTCTTCACACCTCAGCCACAGTAACCAGGACCCTGGTGGACTTCTTTGTGGAGCACAAGGGCCAGCTGAAGGTCGAGCTGGCCTGGCCAGGAAACATCATGCACGATGTCAACAAGTAAGAGTGTTAATCTGACTGTTTGTCAACTGAAGGGATTTAAGATTGGGGCCACAACTTTGGGTTATGTAGCACCCTGGTTGGATTTAATTTGAGTTTAATCACTTAAGGTCCAGTGTTTGTAACATTTAGGAGGCAGAAATGGAATATAATATTCATAGGTATGTTTTCTTTAGTGTATAATCACCTTTTTATAGCAGCCATGTTGAATAACCATGTTTCTACGGTAGCAGACAAACGAAACACTGGCTCTAGATTGGGCTTTTGCAGGTTGCGTCAGTATTTGACGACTTGGGAATGAGACTCAACCATCTTTCTGGACTGGACTACCTTAAGGCCAACAATATGATGATTTGATAAGATTTGATATGTAAAGACCTTGGGCTGGGTATGGATATCGTGGCCCATATAATGCCGTGATTTAAGGAATATTGGCCTCTTTTTTTTCTTCCTTTAGTTTATCACTACAAGCAACCCCTTTCACATGCACATAGTCATTTGATCGATTGTTAATATAAAAATATTGATTATAGCAGCTTTAACTGGATACATAAAATATGAAAAATCCAAATAACTAAGTTGGGTGCATTGGAGGGGCTCATGACCTCAGTATTTTTTTAATCCTCCTATGACCCAGAGTGTAATATTTTTCAAAATTATAAAACCATTATCACGCACATTAACTGACAGGGGAAATTAAATAGACCAGATAAGAGAACAATCATAAGGGAAGTGAGATTATGGTCGGTGACGAAGGATTAATCATGGTATTCTGCTCTTTTGGATTACATTTTGAATGACTGACTTGTCTTTTTCCTCATAGATACTGGAAGACTAAAAACCTCTCCCCCAAACGTCTTAGCACTGGAATCCTCATGTACACGTTGGCGTCCGCCATGTGCGACGAGATCCATCTCTATGGCTTCTGGCCCTTTGGCTGGGACCCCAATACGGGCAAGGACCTGCCTTACCACTACTACGACAAGAAAGGGACCAAATTCACCACCAAGTGGCAGGAGACCCACCAGCTGCCCAGCGAGTTCAAGCTGCTCTACAAGCTGCACAGGGAAGGCGTGATTAAACTCAGCCTGACACACTGCTCTTAGACATACAGTGAGTGTTGGATGGTTTAAGAGGTGACTCCAGAGATCATTACCCAGATACATCAGCTCAGCTCAAACTTCTGTTGTGACCCACAATGCATGATAAGTGTTAAGGCAACACCCTCATTCTACAAACACACACTCCACACCACGCTGTACTTACACATGAAGATGTCAGGCTCACTCGGGATGTAAATTACAGACTTATCACAGTGTTGCTCATTCAGTATATTGTTGTACGACAGTTTAGGAACCTTTATGCTGCTCAGTTGCTTCCATTACTCTCCTTTGCATGGCTGCTGGCCGTGGCTAAACAGCTTGAACAGAACAAATGTCTATTTTATCTGGAGTCCGCAGGGGATTTAGTTGTGGGAACACAAACAGTTAAATCTTCCAGTTCTGTTTAACACATTATTGATTGATTAATCGCCTTTTACAACAGTATACTGATTCTGTACACTGAAATCACTGCCTAATCTCAGGGAAGGAGTTAGATCAGTGTTTTTTTGTAATCAGATTCAATGCCTCAAGAGAGGTGCAGTTCCTGTTTTCAGGCCTTTTTCCCCCCATGAGGTGTCAGACAATCTGCACTGCTCTGAAAGATGGTATTTGTTTACAAGACTGTACTCTCTCTCTTTCTCTCTCTCTCTCTCTATATATATACACATATATACTTGTGTGTCTTTTATTCTCTGTCTGTTCTCTGACAGTGTGACTGTCCACTTCAAATTTTGTTGAGATTCTTGAAATTTTTGGAATAACAATCAACATTCCAACAATAAGCCATAGATTCATGGACAGACGATAGTGTGTTGTCCTTACAATACTGAATTTTAGAAAGTGGTATCGGCCTACATTAGGTTCTGAGACTAAGACATTTGAAATATTGTCCACCGAGACTACAAGTCTAGAGCCATGCTAGTGGCTACATTGGAGTCACAGGGCTTTGATTTCCCCAAAAAATAAATACTTTGCGATCTTAGGCAAACTCAAAATGTCATTTAACAAACTTACAGCTGTTCTGAAGGTATTTTATATTTATTATTTAGTCCGCTGCAGGATAAGAAAAATATTTTTAATCTGTTTCCAAATTTGCTACTCTATTTTCCTATCCAGGAAGCTGGAAATTACATATCTCCTTGCCCTTTTGCAACATGAGAAACATTTTGTATTTTGTTGGAAATTTGTTGGAAATTTTTATCAATGAAAGACAAACATAAGGTATAGTAAAATTATTTTAAGTAAGATCCTTACAGAAATCTCTAATTAAATAGGCTACTTTCAGAACACCAGTAAATTTAGTTCGACCACCTCCTGGGTTTGTCAAAGATCGCAGGATGTTTATTTTTCAGAAAATCAGATACATAGTCCTGTGACTTGAATGTAACAATATATGAGAGTCACAAACTAGGGCTGAGGTTGTATCGGCTATTCGTAAATCCATTACAAGGTTTGTGTGTAAGTCAATTAACTACAAGCAAGTTTTAAAGTAGAAACTTACAGAATGGTGTTGCAACCGCATGTTGATGACAAGACCACAAATTGAAATTTTGAACGTATGAAACAAACGAGATATGATAGTCGGACTTTGTTATCTGTGGACAGAGCAAGGCTAGCTGTTTCCTAAATTTCCAGTCTTTATGCTAAGCTAAGCTAACTGGCTGCTGGCTCCAGCTTCATGCTGAATGTACAGATGAGACTGGTATCAATCTTCTCAACTAACTCTTGCAAGAAAGCGAATAACTTTCCCAAACTGTCAAAGTATTCCTTTAAAACCCAATATCTTAGCTGGTAAATACTTTATTAGTGTAAACTGTCATATCCACTTCAAAAAGGTAAAAGTTTTATGGGGGCAAGAAACTGCCAATCCTTTATAAATCTAGGTATGTCTTTGTTTTATATGTGGAGAAATATTGATGTTTCTGAGTTAAACTAGTATTCACTCAGCATGATTGGCAGATATCCAATAACCTGAGTGTTCGACCATTTAGTCTTTAATTAACGTTACTGGCATAACATTTTGTAATTATGTATTGTGCCTCCTAAGTTTACATTATTACAAAATTCAACCCGAATTCCATACTATTTCTTTTACTCTTAAACACTAAAGCTCAGGTTGGTCAGTTGGTCCAGTTAGCTGTGCAACAGTTACACCAGGCAGTTTAGCAGGCGTATATATTTGGTAACTATTTATGTAAGAACTATGTTTGTGTGGTGAAACCTATTTTTATTCAGTGATTTGTAAATCTCTCTCGTAAAGTTGAACTGGTGGTGACAGTAGGGACAATTTTGCAATTCTTACCAAAAACGTGACAAAAAATGTTCAACCTGAGGCTACCAGACTAAGACCATCTTGTGAACTAAATCACAGCGGTAGCGTGGTTAAAAAAATGTCAGGAAACACAACATTTTGGACAGTTTCTTCAATTATTTAATATGTACCAACAACTGATCTTGAGGTTTACCACTATTTAAAATTACAAAGATACTAAAGAAGAGAATACACTATTTATTACGTTTGTTGACTTGGCGAAAGTTATTTATTCATCATATAACCATATCAATTCCAATATTTGTGACGTAAAACCAGAGAAATGGATGAATGTTATATGACTTACTGCATCTTGTATAAAGAGCATGATCCATTTAAATGGCATTGCATGAGAGGCACTAACAAATCTTTTAGGCTAGTTTTATACAACCTTTTAGAAGATTGTTTTGAGGGTAAAATTTTGTTCTTTGCTATTGTTTGTATTCCTGGTGGTGCATTCCTTAAGAATATCACCAGTGTCTTTGTATGAGAGATGTTTGACGGCTAAAAAAAGAACCTTACTGCTATATTCCACATGGGACCAAACCTCTACAGACTTAAACATTAACAAGCTTTATTTTTTGTAACTGTAGATAATCTTGGGTTCTCAAAAACGTACACTCTTGTCATGCCAGACTGAAGCAGACTGGTGGATGTGGGGTTCAGGACGACTGGGCCCAAACAGTGAAAGCTGGCCACATGACCAGCTCATGACTCTGCAACATGTGCTTTTTCTTGCCAATTATGGTTTAATACACAGAGCAACGCAGCCATTAACACTTACCAGATGTAGTGTGTGCTTTTGTGCTCATTCAGATTTAGCATGGTTGGCATTTGCTTGCCATCCTGTCCGACACAAAGTGTTTTTTGTCCGTCTCCTTTGGCAAGATTAACATTTCAGATAGTAAACTTTTGTGTCTTGTCTCCAAATCATTGCAGTCACCACAACAACCATGAAAACTCTATCTGATGAATTAAATAGCTGAATTTTAGACCGTTTGATTGATGTCATAGATGTATGTATACATTTAAGAATAATTTCTGTAGTCCCTTCATTAGGAATGTTTTGTAGGTACACCAAAGACCATGTGTTCAAAGGAGAAATGTTACGTATGCTTGATACAGATTGATATGGGAATTTTGGAAGCTGAATGACAACTAACAAGTAGTATTGTATAAGAAGTGGAATATCCCTTTTTTGATGTTGAATTTGTTGTTGAATATCACTTTGTGTGGCACAAAATAATTTAAAACTAGCTTTTATGGCTTCAGCCAAAGTAATGTGGTGAAATTTATGTGTGAAATCCGTTAATGTCCTCCTCTAGATCGATTTTTTTGAAAAATCCACTGGCGCTGATATGAATGCTGGACATTTTCCTCCACCAAAAAGTTCCAATGTGTAGAATGTGTGTAAACGATAATGATGCTAATAAAGTCTGTGAAGATTGTAGTTCCAGTCAGAATAACAATTTAGCCTTTTGTGCATTACATTTAGATGACAAGACAGTGACATACATAACCTAAACATACAATGTCTTTATTCCAAATGCAGCACTATACAGGATTTTGTTCCAACAGCCCTTTAACATTCTTGTAATTGTGTTCGATCTGCATGGCAACTTTGTTCCATAATGCATAAAAAAGCTTGGCTGCTTATGTACATGTCGTATAAAAGTCATAAATCATGTAAGGGACTTTGCTATCTTGGTTGTTCTAACAAAAATGATCATCCATATAAGAAATGTAACCATGTCTTAAATGTTTTTTGATTATACTCCATGATAAATATACGTTATGTGCCTGCATATTCCTTCCATCAAGGCCTAAATGTGTCAAATAAAAACAGTATTTTTCTCTGATATGACCCATTTGAAGATAATAATTGACTTTTTTTGGTAGAATCACAACCACTTGGTGTCTTTAAAACATTACAGGTTTTACAATACCTTATACTGTATTCAGTTACTAATACAATCTTTAAAGTCTTTTGCAACTCCTCTCCATCCTCTTTCTCACTTGCCAAGGCACAGGCTGTGAATAAATAACATTACAGATAGCAAATAGGAGAGGAATTCACACTGTAATAACAATGTTGCTTTAAGTAAAATGGGCCATGTTCTAGTCCTCTTATGTATGGATAATATTTTAGTTGATTTTATGATCTCAGATTATCTTCAGCCTCACCTAGCAGGCACCCTAATCAAGCTTATAGAGTGGCTGCTGGTGGAAACATCAGCAGGCGCACCTCCTCCTCACAGGGGCCTCCTCCACTTCATGGCTGGCGATGGGGCTGCCGTTGGGTTCAGAGCTGCGGCCCCCGTTAGTGCTCTGGTCCATCCTCTTCATCACCAGGTCCAGCAGGGTAGTCACTGCCTGTTCCACACTAACACCCGTCACTGCGCTTGTCTCCAAGTAGGGGATGCTGACGAGAACGGAGAGAGGAGTTTTCTATGAAACAGTTAGGAAAGCGGGGCGCGGATCAAACAGAAGCTGCTGTTTAGTGACCATATTGTGCGCATGTGTTTGTGTTGAGCAGCTGATAATCAATGATTCACAACCTTTTTTTTGACTCCTGAAAGAGTAAGATCTATGTGTAAATGTCACAGTTTGTATACATATATTAGGCCTATAGTGTACTTTTTAAAAAACAATTTTATAGGCCTTTATAGGGAAGAATATTCAATATTAGACAGAGAAAAAAGAAAGAAAATTGCAAAAATCTAAAAAAGGTAAACAGTTTGTGAAGCAGAAATGTATTAATAAAAATAATAATTCTTCTATTAATAACAACAACCAACATTTATCTCCCTGACCCACAGGCTGAAAACCACTGTGCTGAGTCAAATTATAAACCTCCAGGAGGAAGACCAGTGGAGCAGGGTTGAAAACAGCTCACTAGCACCATCCTGTGGTACACTAGGAAAATAAATATATTTACTGCTTGGTCATCTACAGTGGGTTGTAAACACTTTAAATGAGGGTGACACTCATTACTTAAAATACAAACACACCTGAAAATATCTGTTTTTTAAATTAGTTAACATGTCAAAGAGAAAATCATAATAAGTTGCACAATATGTGATACAAATTTAAACAAAAGGAGAGCCCCATCACCAAAAATGGTAAATGCAATCACACTCATTTACAACATCTTTTCATTTGAAGAGCTGTAACCAGTGGATTTGGGGGCATTTCTGTTTAAATAATGACTTTTTAACGGTTAAGCAATTTCAACAGTTTCCAATTAACTTTATGTCAATCAATGAATTCATTGAGGTTGAAATCAAACACAGCTCACTGCGGTCTCAGGGCTCTACCAGGTGAGCTACCGTGCGCCCCAGAAGTCTGTATTTATCAGTAACTGAAAGAGTTCAATAATATGTGTTCATGTACATACACCCTTGCACACTGTCTTACTGCTAGAATATTTATTTACATTTAAGTCTGTTTGAGTTACAAGGTAATAATTGTGTAAATAAAATATGTTAATTATATATGTATATTATATATTATTATGTATTATAAAACTTAACATTATATTGTCTTATTGTATTATATTATACCTCTGAGTGTGGAGTAAGTGTGAGTCAGGTGTTAGATAGGTAAAGATAGATAGAGACATCTGTACTACACTTCACACAGTCTCACACACTGCAGCTATACACACTTGCTGAATCTAATAAACAACAGTACGTATTTAATGCCTCACCCGTATCTGTCTGCCAGATCTCTGGCCTGTCTAGTGTGGACATCCCTCAGATCTCGAAGGTCTGCTTTGGTGCCCACCAACACAATGTCTGGACTATCGCAGTACGCGTTGGCCTGTAGCTGACCTGAACCAACACAGAGGAAGTCATTTATACCCATGTGACGCAAATAGACATGCATGAGCAAACTTGAAACACTGTTCAAAAATTCCCTTAGTCAAGGTTAAAGAGGGTGGATTTGCATCTCGCTCTCAGTGGCGATAAGAGAGAAAACATTGATCACAAAGAGTATTGATCTGAAGCCCAGCAGGCTGCTGAGATGACACATACTCATCCAGTTCCTGACGTTGAGGAAACTTTGCTGATTGGTCAAGTCAAACATCAGCAGGAAGCCCATGGCGTCTCTGAAAAAGGCTGTAGTCAGGCTGCGGAACCTGAAAACAGATTTTTGTTATACAGTATAAGGCTCCCATGTGTAGATTTTTAGTCATGCTAGGTTGGTCGGTCCACCATTTGGTCCTGATAGAAACATCTCAGCAACTGTTGGATGGATTGCCATGACACACGTGGACATTTCTGCTCTGACTTTAGTGATCCTGTCTTCTCTAGCGCCCCCATGAGGTTGAAATTTGTGGTTTTGAGTGAAATATCTCAACTGTTGGATGGATTACCAGTAATGTAGTACACACATTGGTGATCCTGTAACTTCTAGCACCATAATCAAGTTGAAGTTTTAATTTGTCCAATACTTTGATTTATGACCAAATACCAGAAAAACTATTGACTTTCCCATCTTCCTCAGGTATGTTAGTATCTAGCTCAAAGCACCACTGTGCAGGCTCATACAACTGCTAGCTGTAATGTAGGTGCTTCATCTTGTTTCTGTGATTATAGCTTTTTTCAAATTATTTGGATTTGTTTTTGTTGAAAAAATGTGCCAATCCTGTTCAATAAATTGCTTGCTTTCAGCCCATGTAGTGTCCCCTGGTTTGAATTAGTTTGTTTTAGGGAGTAACAGCGTACATTGCTGTTTTGAGACCACCACTAGGAGTCGTACTCTGCATGAGTTTAAATAATCATGTCTACATGTAAAACACATAGTGAGCATGAGATTAGATTTACCTCTCTTGTCCCGCTGTATCCCAAAGCTGAAGATGGACTTTGAAGTTCCTCTCAGTCGTGCCATCAGCACCCATCCCTGTGTACATCTGAACCAAACCACACAAGCATGACAATCCTTCCAACCTCTGAGCTGACTTGAAGTCAAGAATCTCACACTGAAGACAACATTTTAAAATGTATTACTCACCACTCTCTTTTCCCTGAAGTCAATGCCCACTGTAGTTGTGAACTTGCGGTTGAACTTGTTGTCGGTGTACCTGTGGAGGAAGGTGGTCTTTCCCACCCCCGAGTCTCCCAGCGCCAGCAGCTTGATCAGATAGTCATAGTCCCAGTCAGCCATTGTGCAGCCTAGTGCTCAACCTGCCACAGAGTTGAACTCACAGTACAATGCTATGCTGGTTTGATGGATCATGTAACCATAAGAGTTTAGAGAAAGTTTGCAAGGAGGCTAAGGAAATACTTAAAAACTAGAAAAGGAAGGGGAAATAGTTCCACCTAAGCTGCAGATTTCAGTCTGAGGGTGCAGGACCATCACAAAAGCTTAGCTGGACGTCATAACTCCCCACTCATTAGGCACTGATCAGAGAGAGACTAGCACATGACTGGAGCTGGCTTCCACATGAGCAGTCAAATGCCTCGCCAGAATTTTCTCAGACATTGCTGAGTGAAAAAACAGAGTCTGTTTGGCAGACAGAACTCCTTTTATTGACTTGAAGGGCTGTGGGCAGACAGCTCAAAACTGCATGACAACACTCAGGTCACCGCAATGCTTCGGTTACACTTGCAGCCAGGGCCAGGCAGGCCAATAAAGGCAGCATAGAAAATCAGTTTTGGTTATGTAGGTGATGGTCACAAACAAACCATTTATTTTCTTTAGTATACTTCATGGGAAAGCTTTAGGGTGTATGAGTGGATTGAGGAAATATTCATGGTTATGCAACTCAGGTTCCAGCCCCACAGCAGTGACAGGACATGGGATACTACCATGAAACCTACCATGTGCAATGGTATTGGGTTCTTGGCAACCAGCCGAGTAATGAGAGTACCAAACCCTCTAACCTACAGCAGTCTTGTCTGACAAAACTTCAATGAGGAAAACTGAATTTTAAGGATTTTTCCAAAGTACCCCCAGAATCAAATACCCACTGACACAGTTTCACAGCTGCCTTAAAATTACAAAAAAAGTAAAGTACCTTACCAGTCTATCTGCAGGAGATGTCAACGTCCATTCAGAGGTCCCTCAACTCAAATAACAAATAAAATGTAGTCACACATAAACTATCATGACGCGATGGCACATCCTGAACCTTTCCCCCTTCTCACATGTGATCCAGGGAGGAGTTTCGTGCCAGCAAGAAGCAAGTGGGGCTGTGCTTACAGATCTTGTGTTTTCTGGTATTTCTCATGAGGAAAAAAAGGCTCTTTGAAAACTGGACTGTGGCCCCTGTTGACGATGCTAATGCCTCTGTGGATTTCAGTGGAAATCGCCCCGACTAAGGACCAGGCCCCACATCTAGAGGCTCAGTAGTAATCCTGCTTCTCTTAACAATGCCAGAACAATATGAAAACAATGAACCTGATTTAGGTCCCCTAAATATTTTAGAATTGATTTGATCTATTTTACTTTGATCCATGTTTACAAAGGATAACATAATATGATCATGGGTAAAGGGGGATTTTACACATAATGTATAAAACAACATATTCTCATTTCGAAAAAGGCAGCTAATCTGCATATTAACACTGACATACAGGGGTGGATAACAAAACAGAAACAACTAACCAAAAACTAAATACCAACTTGGTCAAGCTCAAGTTTTCCATGTTGTTTTTTTTGGGATTGCCAGAGGTGTTGATCAAAGTCCATAGTGGAGCTTAACATTTTAATTCTTGACTTTAGAGACAGTAGTTTAAAAAAAAGGGGTCCACTTACAAGATGCTTATTAGAAAGCTGCAGAAAAAGCTTGTAAGCGAACCCCCAGTTATGTAGTATTGTGTTCAAATGTAATGATAATTTCAGTAATTTGTTATATCCCATTTATTAACTCAATCATTGATCAATTAATTAATTGTGCCAGTTAACGCTAGCATGGATGATGATTGGAACAACTTTTTTTGGTTTTCTATCATTTTGCTGTGTTAGCGATGCATCAGAAGTCATGCAGAGACAAACTGTTAAACCTGCTACTGTAGAATACTGTAAAGTGTTTCTTTTATTTTGTTAACTCTGTGTATGTATCACATGAGAACACTAAGACATAACATACTTTCTTTAAGATAAATAGCATAACGTAACATCATATAACTTGTCAAAGGCCATCTCTAACTGGGTTTGAAATACTTCAACAAATTATTTGCCTGACTGCTTTTTCCTGCAGGCTTTCTGTCTTTGGTCATCAAGCCTCTCCCTGGTTTCCTGGACGAGGCGGTCTTCAGGACTGGCTTCTGTTGCTTCCATTCAGACAACAACTCCCTTTGAACATCCGGCGGAAGCTCCGAAAACACCTCAGGGTCCACATTTCCTGGTAACACACAGTCAGAAGACTCAGGGAATGACAGTCTCCCCTCTTCCATGACGTTTTCTCCTGGAAATGCACTTGTGCCCCCTGGACTCTGGTCATTCACGGTGGTCGACCTGTCAGATGGAACCAATTTGTTTGCAGCCTCCTTCATGTCTTGAATATTTTGTGAATCTTTAATCGTCTGTGGAGACTTGTTTTTTATGTGGGAGACATCAACAGCTGCATCTGAGCTCATTGAAGTGCTAGGGAGAGAGTTTGTGTAGGCGGGAGATAAGAGCTCCTTTTGGATTTCCTCAGGGAGAAGCTTGAACACTTCTGGGTCAACATACGGGGGCAATTGATGTGTCACCATGTTATCTGTTTCATCAGAGTCTGATCTCGCTGTGCTGCAGGGTACTTCCTGAAGCAGATGGTCTTCTACAGCAACAACAACGGGGCTCTGTTTTCTTTTAAACCCATGTAATGCTGCATCAGAACTGTGAGTTTTTGTGGGGACTGTCTTCGGTGAGGCGTGTTGAGAAATCCCGCTGTGTGTGCTGAACTGATGATCCATACAGTGACTGTCCCCACTCTCAGATGAATCATCCTAGTGGAGATTAAAAGAGGAGGTCCAAAAAGATTTTAGGAATTTCAGACGATAAGGTCTCTTCAGCGAGTAAGCATGGACCAGGGTGTCTGCAGGGTTCACCAGGTTACATTTAATTACCGTTTTAATAACAAAAAAAAAGCTATTTAGTACCTGTTTCACAATCTGCAACTTCAACATGCTGATGGGCGTCATTGCTGGTGTGATCCCATTACAAAATGGTTTATTATTATATCATATTATATATATTTATATCATGTCTTTTCTGTACTTCACAGCAGTACAGAATGTATAATAGTTAAATAATTCCTGATGATATAATTAATTATATTAATTTTAGTTGGTTTAACCAACTAAAAATAATTAATTTGCCCATTATGGGACGATGAGCTTCCTAGTTAGTTGACAGTAAGTAACAGTGTTTGCTACAGGTCTAATGGTGCCGACTGAAACGCCAAACTCCAGTCCACTGTCGAACCAGCTGCAATTAATCGATTAATTTGTTGTTAGAAAGATTATCTGCAACTAACGTTATTTAGAAATTTGATCGTTTCAGTCATTTTTCAAGCAGAAATTGTGGTTGAAAAATGTAAAAACATGTTATACATTGTCAGGTTTCAGCTTCTCAAATGTAAGGATTTGCTGCTTCTCTTTGTCGTATATAAAAGTAAACCGAGTATCTTAAGGGTTTCAGACTCTTGGTCAGACATCTCTCTTTTAGTTTATAGGTGTATAACTTCTCCCGACAGCCCGAAGTCCGATGCAAAGACGTTTTATAATGAACATAAATTCAAGGTATTAAAAACTTTACAAATTAAATTCAAGCCTTTTTTGAGGAAACTCAATACTTCTTAAAACTTTTCAAGACCTGCAGATACCCCAATGAAGATAACCAGATAAGCCAGATTATGCTGCATTACTTCACTGTACTACCTGGCTTTGTGTTGAGAGGAGTCGTGTTTTTCTGGGAGACGTGTTATGTGTGAAGAAAGACGTTATGGAGCCCTTTCCACTGACGGCAGCTCCCCTGGTCTGCAGGTTACTGAAGCAAACGTTAATGAGGGTGAGGTGGAAGCTGGCGCTGCTGTCCACCATCTTGTGGAACAACTTCATGGCCAATGGGACCAGCTGGAGCACAGCATCATCACTGCTGCCTATAGAGACAATACAGAAAATAATGCTTTATTGGCAGTTTTGGACATTAGGATATGGAGATTATGGAAAATAATCCACAGGGCAATATTAGTATTCGAATGTCCAGTATTTATCTTTTAGCTCTGTTTTCGTCTCCACCAAATCCTGAGGGAAATATCTGCCTCTTTAGCAAATAAATGCTCCACTATGTTCATCACCAGATAATAAATAATTTTGCCTGTCTGCAAAAGGTGTACAGTAAGAATATCTGGGCTTTTTCTCTGCAAACAGCTGCCTGCTGCTGCTGGAAACAATCAGTGAATCAAAACAGCACATTTGTGCATTTTAACAGAGAGCTGAGAGATGCTAAAAATGATCCATAAAGCTGAGGGAAGCTGCAGAGTCAGATGACAATATTGACTGTTAATAAAGAAATACTGATTAGAGCAGTTAGAGAGTCATTGACACAATTCAAGGACTAAAAATGGACATAGTTTGTGAGTTTTATATTAGTAGACTTACAGAGGCTTTGTACTTCTGGCATTATATAGCAAACACATCCTTGTGAACTTACTCACCCTTTCAGGATGGACAGAACTGCATTGTGTGAGGCACACAGACAATGTTTTTGGGTGCTGTATGTAACTGACAAAAATCAAGCACGTTCAAGAATGTTTACAGCGAGTGGAAACGTGTCTTCATGTGCCATCCTGAGCTCTTGCAGGTTGAATATTACGGTGTCTTAGCTTACCCGAGGTGATCTTCTGTCCTATGTGAGTGGGGATTGGAGACTGCCGGCTCTCCCTACTGAACCACTTGTTGGTCGCCGAGTATCTACGGATGGTAAGCCGGAAGGTTTGAGGGAGCCTGCCATCTTTGTGCATCCTGGTTTTCAAACAGATGGTAAGAGGCTCAGTGACTTCAGCATAAAAGACCACAACTGCAGGTTTTAAATAGCTGACAAAGTATCTCACCTCTCCACCAGATTGCTCAGGAGTTCTTGAATTTTTTCCAAAACGTCTTTGGTTGATGATATTTTCTTGAAGGAGTCTTCGTCACTGAGAGACTGAAACATGAAGAGGATACTCTAATATGGTAAAATATCACATTTTTACATCAAAAGGGACAATAGATAAGAACTCAGATCATGACTTAACATAACAGTAATAATAGCAATGTTCTTGAGTTTGCAGAACTGCACCAGTGAGTCGACAATTACTTTGTTTTTGAAACTTACCCCCTTAAAGATTCAAGATTGTCCAAAATGACACCCCAGCATGTACTTTTATTTATTTAATCAAGGTAATATATTACTCTCTTTTAGTTTCACTTGTTGCTGCCTACAGGGGTTAAAATGGCTTTCTGCAGACTGTGTTCTGTTGTGTGGACTGTCCGGAGTAACAAAGAATAACCCCAGGAAATGAATACTGAATTTTCTAAATGTATTTCTAACGCTTTACCAGGAATTCTGTTCACCTCCATTGTACTGGTGAAATTTTGGAGACAGATATCTCAAATTTTATCTATCTAATCTTTATTTATCTATTTGTTTTTTTGGTAATCTGGCTGCAAGATAATTTGACTTTTACTGAAAATAAAAATGTACTGACTGCTGATTGACAAAGTCAAAGAAAAAGAGCTTATATTCAACATTTGTTTGGTTAGTGTGAGTGTCTGAAAGCCGATGTTTCAAGCCAAAACTATAAGAACTGCAAACGCATTTGTACTGAGGGACCTTTTAATGAGGCAACTTGGATGTCAGGAGGTGGAGCTGAGCTCTGGTTGGCTAAAAACATACACTCCTTCAGTTTAAGAAGATACTGGTCATTTCCTAGCCTACCTGAGGGGCGCCAGATGGAGTTACAGGTGAGTCATCAACACCAAGGGCCAGATTCTTCAAGCGCTGAGCACTGGGACCTCCAAACTCTCTCACCAAGTCATTCAATGGGAAGAGCTGTAGGTCTTTCACACTGACCAATCCCAATGCTTGAAGCCTCTTAGCGGTTTGGTGACCCACCCCTAAGAATACATGACCAGACCACAAACTTATCATCCAGGACACTTGATAATTGTGACATGGGCCAAAAACACATCATAAGAGCTTTGAATTGAAAAATAATTACACATCTATACCCGGTACTTTGCGGAGACCGCTCAGGCAGCCAATGATGTCACTGATGTTCTCCGGCAGCAGCGTAGTTTGCTGGTTGGGTTTGAAGGTGCCCGACACCAGTTTGGCCAGTAGCTTGTTTGTGGCGATGCCAGCACAACCAGTCAGACCCAGTTTACTGTGGATGGCTTTTCTCAGCTCTGCTGCGATGTGTGAACCTAAAGCCAGCCTTGGATGATCACTGGCTTCAACAGCTGCACCTGAGCAGGAGAAGAAAATAAGAAATGTATGTTATCTGTGTGGTGAAAAGCCGACATTCTTCAAGAGGATCCAAAAGTAAACTTTTCATGTGGTGGGAAACAGAAATCGCAATGCAAATATTTAACAAGTTTTAAGCGTCTTGGCTTGTTTCACAACTCAGTTCCTGGTTTCCATGAGCCAGATGTACATAGATTTACAGTTTCTCACCAGAGGCACAAATGAGACTTACTGAAATGGTTGTAGACATGTCCTTTAAATGAAAGATTTCTAGACTCCGGGGTCTCTGCCAGCCTTGTTTCTACCATCTTTGTTATGTCCATGAAGTTTTCATCAAATCCAAGTCTCTCTACCAGTGGACAGTAGGACATCAGCAGCTCTGGAAAGAGGACAAGAAAAGGTAAACAAAGAAGAGCACCGACACAGAAAATATACATGATGATGAATATGTGGGTTATAATGTAGGTGTAAAAGTAGCAAAGGAAACAGTCATAGTGGTAGCATAGCAAGAAATGCAGAGAAAAGGATGACACTCGCATTCCTTACTGAAATGCAAAATGTCAACACTGCATTTTGGCTTTTTATAAGTGGACACATGTTTAAAATGCAGAGTCTCGAAAGAATCTGACATCAAAATGTGTTGTTTTGTGTTTTAAGATAGCTCCAATATTCTCTGCTACCACCTAACAGCAAATAGACCCACAGGCGAGAGGTGACATTGTGTGTTTTGGAGTGGATTTACTCTAAATACTGAATTCTAACTACTAAACTAAATGTTACAATTTATATGGCGAATACAGATTTATTTGCAGACCACCTGAGTGTGATGTCTCACTCCCGCCTACCTGTCACTTTATAGGACATGTCTCTGTAGTGTGTCAGGTCTTCTCCTTTAACCAACACCAGCTGAGGACATTTCTCCTTAGCATCGGTCACAGACATCAGCTTGGTGACCCCCTGCTCCCTTGCCACATAGTTACAGGTGACTATGATGTATTTCTGCTGAATACCTGATGATAGGAGAAACATTATTGACCCACAAGAAGCACTTTATTTTATTCATTCCACTCAGGATCTTTTGTAGTAAATTTACCTAAAGCCACTTCTCTCAGTGCTGGGTTTCTGATCATTTCCACCTGAGCATAGAAACAGTCCAGGTCAAAGTGCAGAATGACTCTGTGTGCAGGTGTTGGTACTGATTTCTTATTGAGGTTTGGACCTGAAACCGAGATTACACATACAATAATAACTAACTGACACGTATATATAGCTGATAGGCAGAGTTATGTTTCCCTCTGCGTGTTCAAACGGCAACTGAAACCCAAAATAAACTGGTTTCAGACAGTTTACCAGCCTCCCTGTCTTCAAACTTCACCTGAAGCAGCAGCAGCTGCTGCAGCGGGGCTGAGTGGGACTGAATCCACGAAACTGCTCCTCCACTCGGTTTCATCCTCTTCCATCTCATCCTCGCTCTTATCCATTTGAAACAACGTAAATGTAATGTGTGTTTTTTTGTAGTTTTTAATACGCGAGATAACACTGCCGCTGCTGCGGTAGCGGTGGGAAAAGTGTACCAAACAGTGAAAATACTCTTTCCTTGTAGGTCCCAGTTCAAGTCTGTGCAGCAGCGCCATCTACCGACACGGAGGGATTACTACGACACAACGAGCCGTAGTCAATGTGACCGACTAACGTGAATCAGCTTCCCTGGCTCAATATGTGTAATATTTATTTCGGGATTAAATAAGCTTTATTTTCTGAAAAATATTCGTTTTTATGGACCTTAAAGTAGCAAAATGTTAACAAATGAAGACAGTTAAGTAAATATTTAACGGTCGTCTCTCGACCTGAGCAGAGTCTATAAAAGTGAGGCAGACGTCCCTTGAAGCCTCCACCTGCTGTCCGGGAGTTAGTTAACGTCAGCTAACTAATTAGCTAAACCAAAGGGTTTGCGCATCGTGAAAAGTAGCGTTTTTGCTGATGTTTCCCTCGTCTGGTCTCTTTGCTGATATAAATTGTCCTTTCTCAAAACGTGGGCTTTGTGAGCGGCCTCACTGTTTGTACAAACATGCCACAGAATTGCGGGATGGGTTTGGTTCCTCGGATAAATCATCGATACTTGACTTTGCAGGTCAGTGTTTTAGGGTATGTTAGCTAATGTGAGCTAACGTTACAATGGATGTGTTGGTAGTGTTGCCTGTTAAAAAGTTTTCAATGTATTTCAAAATGGGCTTTAAAACTTTTTAACTCTTGACTGCCTTGCATGTGTTTTGCATTCAAATAATGGTAAAAATTAAAATTAAATGGTACATTTCCTTAGAGAATAAATTAGCCACCTTTTGTCCTGTTCCCTGTAATTTTAGATTAAGTTTTGTTATTTAGCTAATGAATTAAACACTTTTGTGGGTCTGCTTTGTTCCCAAGACAGGTAAGGAGAATCAATGGTTTTATGAAAAATATAAAATTTTATTTTTGGGTCTTTTCTCTACAATGAATTTAATTCAAAATACTTTATTCATTCTGCAAGGGGCAATTTGTGGTAAGCTAGTTTTAAACCATAAAGCACAAATCACATGGTAGTGTAAAGATATTTGCTCCTGTATGCAGCCACAGGTCACCATACTAGAACTTCCCACAGCTTGTTTAATCTCACCCTGTATTATCTTCCACCATATTTCACATACATTTTTAACAGGAGTCAAAAATGGCTATGTGTATGCCGACTGCGGGGCACCAGTGAATGATGTGACCAAAGATGACTGCATCCAGGAGCTGGAGCGGATCAACAAGGAGATTGAAACTGTAAGGCACGAGGTGGAGCAGGAGCAAAGGCGATTGTCGCACTACCAGACTGTACAGGCAGACAGCAGAAACACTGTGCCTAATTCTGCTGTTTCCAAGTCTGAGACTGCAGGTAAAAATGTAGACAGAGGTTTTTACGGAAGGTCTTCATGCACAAACTTAACTAAAAAGTACTCCAGAGCAAAGAAGTACGTGGTTGACAACTCAAAACCAAGGACTGATTTGGAGTATGACCCTCTCTCCAACTTTTCTGCTGACTTGCGGTCTTACAGCTCATCAGGTAAAGAACAAAAAGTGAGAAAGGGACAAAGTTTGAAAAGATCAAGAAACGCTCTACCTTGTGACGAGAAGAAGCCAGTGGCAGATCAGGCTCAGCTTTCCCGATCGCCATCTCCAGATGACTCAAATGAAGACAGCGTCCTGATTATTGACATTCCTCCCTCGCCTGACAAACAGAGAGGGCGAGATCAGACATCAGTTGATTCTGTTGCTGGCAAATCCCTCCAGGAAAAAGTAGAAGAATTGAAGGAGATCAAAACAGCGGCTATTTTACTTAATTCTCCACCGCTTCCAAACACTGAGGCATGCAAGGTTACATCTCCACCTGCCCCAACAGTAGAAAAAAATATAGTTAATAGTAAAAGTGGTGCTGAAAACAATCAAGGTCCATCTTATCTTTATGAGAACAAAGAATTTGTAAATATACCAGTAGATGGGAGTGTAGTTGACCTAACTGGATGTTTAGAAGACGGGGGAAGAGAGAGCCAGACAATTACTCACTTCCAGGCTACTGAAACAGTAGTTGAGAAAAGTCCTGAACCTGCAAGTCATCCTGCCAACACAGACCAGCAAGACTGGAACAATCTTGTGGTGAAAGAGGAAGAAAACACGTTTCGGATTGAATTGCCCCAGTGTGAGAAAATGGAGCCATACAATTTTCCTCAAAGGAATTCTCTTTTTTATGAAGCTCCAGCTGCTATCTCAGACCCATCCTGCATGCAATATACCAAGAAAGCCCAGACAATAGAACAGCCAGCTCAGAACAGAGTTACCAATCAGTGGTGTTCCACAAAATGTGTACCGTCAGTGCTTCCACACCAACAGAAAACATCAAGCAAAATGCCAGGACCAACGCAGGGTAAAGCTGCTGTTAACCATGCTCAACCTGAAAGCTGCCTGGAGCCAGCAAAACTAGCTTCAAGAGACAGCCAAGGTCCGGCTCGACACAATTCATCAGCATCAAGTTTGACAAACATAGCTGAATCTTCATCCGCATCAACTGAGCAGCTTTTGGAGAAAGCAGATAGTGAAGGGTTTATAATCATTGAGTCCAGCTCTGATGACGAAGATGAGCTCAACTATTCAGAAATGGAGCTGTCTGACAGTGACCCAATGGAGGAATGCTACAGGATCTTCATGGAAGCAAACGAGGATAAGGGAAATGAAGAGCAGCCTGATGAGTTTGTAAGTATGCTGTAAATACCCCAGATCTAATATGAAGAAAGTTTGTCTGTACAGTGTAAAGGTCTTTTACTTAATCTTGTCATTTTTAGGTTGAAGCTATGGATGTGGAGAAACAGGAGTTTAATGCCAAACTCCAAGCATTGCCAGGAAAGAAGAGGGTGGCTCATGAAGCCAAACATACAGAGGTACATGCTATATATGCATGAAATGCCAAATTTTAAGTATTCATAGACAAAAATGGACAAAACAGAAGTTGATATTATGTATTAAAACCTTTTATATAATTAGCACACTGCACTTTATTTCTTTCCATATTAACTTAAACAATTAAGAGTTTACAAAACATCATTTAAATTACAGTTAACATGTAAACGATTTTTAAATTGATGAAAGAAATAAATTATATGCCCTTGTGTGGTAAACTTAAATGTATTTGATAATATGGTGCAATATATTTAACCATAGATAATTGGATATGAATATAAGATGAATGAGAGTGGCAATTTTCCTCTAGGTCACCACCGTAGAGAAAAGTACCTAGCCTAAATTGTCCTTTTAAGCACATAGTTTGATTTATCTGCTTCGTTCAGCAGCCAGTGGCTAAGAGAAGAACTCAGCCCCAGGTGCTGGTTCCCCTACGTGGGCCTGCTGTGTCGGGGATTGCCTCCCAGCCTTCCACCACCACCACCAAGATTCAGCAGGTACAGCAGAGAGCCCCCATGCTGACTGCTTCATTTAGAGGTGGCCAGACGTTCGTTTCTTCCGCGTTTCAGGGGAGGCCAGAAAACCAAAGTACACCTACTCCTTCAGCTCTAACCCCTGAAAACCTGCAGCTTGCTACTGTGCAAAATGGTAAGCATCTGTTTGCTGTGATGGATTAGGGTTTTTAAAAAAGAAAATTAGTGTCAAGATCAAATAGTAGCACTGTTTCCCATTAATTACCTAGACTATGGCGGTCTACCATTGTCTAATTTCCCCCGCCATAGTGCTCTAGCAAAGCCTCTCACTCAGTTTTAGTATCTGCCATCAATAACTAGTGGACAGTCTCGCTCTGCACCTCCTGTCTATTGTCAGTCACACTGCTCTGCAGTGATACACACAGAGAGAGGAAGGCGGTCACAACACCTCTCCCTGGATATAACTAGTTAAAACCGCGAGCGGGAGGTGGGGAAAGAGATGGCAGCTTGTAAGACCAGTAGGGTTTGTTGCAGTGTTTTGATCTAGTAGAAAATGAAAACAAGGTATTGTCCCTTTTTATAAACTGTCATATAAGGCTAATCACTTGACCAGAGCGATGCACAACCACATTCAGCACGATGGATATGTGGATGTTAACCTGCAAGGAGAGGAGGCTGCTTGTGCTAGCGCTGCTAACGTAAGCCACCCTAAGCAAACCAAGATGACATTTACTGTCCCAATCCACAGATGCAGTGATCCCACTCAGACTGTTATTTATATTTATATTTATATATATATTCTGATTAATAATGTGAGAAAATGGAGCCATACAATTTTCCACAAAGGAATTCTCTCTTTTATGAAGCTCCAGCTGCTATCTCAGACCCACCCTGCATACTAACTGACAAGGATATTAGTTGCCAGGAAGATCCTTACTCAAAACTCAAACTAACCAATGCTGATCAAATGTGAATCAAGATTCTGTCACTGCATTTCCTATTTCTCACCTCAGAAGTTTTCAGAAACATATTTTAGTGTACTGTTAAACTGTAATACAGGAAAGTATGTGATCAGGCAAACTGCCTTACTGCTACAAAGTAGAATTTGTGTGGTGTGTTTTTGTGGCTATTCCTGAATGCAGCATATGTGTTTTTGTCTTATTCCACAGCTTACATAAACTACATACCTTTGGGAACTGCCGTGATCGAAGTGGGCAACAACTTGCACTTGATCCTCCCAGAGGGCGCCTTCCCTCTGCCTGGTACTTCCACTTCCAGCCAAGTTACTTCAGTGCTAACCCCAATGAGTCAAGTTAATACCAGCACTGTAGCTGTGAAACAAATATACCATCCACCTGCAGTTACCTCTGTGCAAAGATACCGCACAACAGCACCTGTGCTCATTCCTGCGCCAGCACGTAAACCTTCGCTGACTTCTTCCTTTGCATCGGCATATTCAAGTCCAGCCACTTCCACTACTCCTCAAGCTGCTGTTCATGCTACTGTGAAGGTGAGAAGTGAAAAACAGCCTCTGTTGGGGCCGTGGTGTGAGTTAGACACGTGTCATCAGTTAAATATTAACAATGAATGTATTATTTTAGCCAGTGCCTACTAAACGTAAATTGAAGCAGCAGTGTGAGGCCCCCAAAGACAAAGTGCCGCATGACCTCCGACAGCGTTACGTCAACATGTTCACGGAGGAGTTTCTCAAAACAACAACCAATGTTAATGATGCCTTTGAAAAGGTGAGCTTGTCCCACTCAATGCCATCCTGACTGACAAACTACAGTCTAGATATTAATTTAATTTCTGTCCATGTTGTTGAAAGGCACTTGCTGAAGAGAGGACTGTGTATAATCGCAGTGTGAACAAACTCAAATATCAGAGTGTTGCAGTGAATGCACTGAAGAGGCTGAAGAACCAAAGTGCTGTTGCTGCTAAAGGTGGAAATCTCTGGAAAACCCAAACTTTTCTAAATAAAATGTGTAAATGATGCTGATAAGATATCATTTAGTAATATGTCATATTTTTTTTCCCCTGTGGAGATGAAAAAGTCATCAGCCAAAGACTGAAAGGCAACATTCCACTTAACCTGAAGAAGTTTAAAGGAAATGGTGAGAATTGGTGACATTTTTATTTGGTACCTTTGTCCATTTCATTCAAATATTTTGACAGCTTCTAAGTAAATAAATTTTTCCAGCAGATGATATGGCATTGTATGACAGTTTGAAAGACTATATTTTGACTGAGGAAAGGCTGATTGAGAGCAACTATCCTGTCCAGCACCCAGAGAAACCTGGTTGTGCTATTCTTTTTGCTGACAATAAAAAAGGCAACACAGACTGTAAGTGAAATCTTTAAGACAATTTAATGCAGTTCTCATATTATATCACTAGAGGGCACACTTAACCAGTGCTGTACTTGCATTGAGGGTTTCTTTTCTCAGTACATTTCCCTCTGGCTTTTCTTGGTTAAAGCCCTGAAGAGGATCTGCTGTCGATGTGGGGCTACATTCTCTGTGAGCCAAACGGGCAAACACATTCGTAAGGAGGAGTGTAATTACCACTATGGGAAAGGAGTTAAGAATAAAGGTGAGTATACTATAGTTGTATGCTTTAAAAACATCCCAAATACTTCAAACTGTTCAATATACAGCTTACACCATTCATGGTATACATTTCTAACTGTTTACAGTGCCAGGTGGAGTGGAGACCCGCTACAGTTGCTGCGAGGGAGTCATGGGAGCACCTGGATGTCAGGTGTTTAAGGTAAACGAATTTGGAATGGGAGATTATTCCATAGCTTGATTCTCTCCTAAGACCTCCTCAACTGTAACAGTGGGTTAAGTAATATTTTTTTTGTCTTTCCTTCACTAGTTGCATGTCCATGATTCCCTCAGCCTTGATGGTTTTGTCTCTACTCTTCCCAGACATCCCGGGCCCGATACGGGCTGTCCTGGGGTCTACTCCTTGGATTGTGAAATGGTGACCAGCTTCTTTGAGGGGCTTAGTTTTTAAAATCTTTGAGCACCAAAATGTGTGCCTGATGTCAAAACACACATTAATTGTTAAGCCTGTGTGGTTGTATGGATGGAATTAAATAGATGTTGATGTTTGATATATAGCTGGCCTTAGGTATGCAGTGCGAACAATGTATATTGTGTTCATTTTTGTCTTCATAGTGCTATACCATTCATGGTCTGGAGCTGTCCAGAGTGACGCTGGTCAACTCTGGTCTGCAGGTCGTTTACGACACCTTTGTCAGACCTGATAATGAGGTCATCGACTATAACACCAGGTAATGTAATTGAATGGCTTTTTTGCTTTTAACACCTACTTGAACTATCACTTCTATAACAGATATAATGTCCATCATTACTAATACATGGTGATAAAATTAAGGAAATTGTACAACCGCCTTATCAATGTATTTTGAATCCGCCAACTGCTCCGGCCTGTGTGACACTTTACTTGTGAAGGTTTTCAGGCATCAGTGAGGAAGACGTGAAGGGTAACCACACCTCCCTCAGAGAGGTGCAGGAGACCTTATTGAGCTTCATTAGCGCTGACACCATTCTGATTGGACACAGCTTGGAAACAGACCTCTGTGCCCTGAAGGTGACTACTATAAGCTTTTCCCAACATTATTTCACAACCTGTAGTTGTTGCAGTTGCAATCTTTGCTAACCTGTGATTCTAAATAAGCCCAAAACCAAACTATGAGCGTGTTTGCATAAAACAAGGTCTGTAACAAAAAGCTAGTCACATTCAACATGTCCACCACAATTTCCCTGCAAAGAGCCTCTGTTATTTCTGAAATATCCATGTGTGGGTTATGTTTTAACGAATTTGTTTTCTCTCGGTATTGTTTTTTTAAAGTGAGTTTTAAAACTTTTGTTAGTCCTTGTGATCATCTGGCAATAGTTGCTTTTAAAGGTGGTTGATTAGTGAGGATGTTTTTATTATTTTTCATAATATTGATTATTTTTTAATAACCTGAATTTAGAGGGTGTTGACAAACTAAAAACGCCTCACAGGAAAGTAGAAACTCTGAATTAACTTGACAATCATAATTACAAACACTGCTACAAATCTGGCTCATGAAGTAGAAGGTTGAATGTCAAGCACCAGCTTTTCTCACCTATTAAAGGGGTTTGGAAAGTTTTTAAAGCAACAGAAAACTAACTGCTGAAAATGGCAATACTGTGTAATATGTCTCATAAATTATTACATATATCAGACAAATAATTGCGCTGATCAAGAGAGGAGAGTGTGGCCACATGTTGGACAGGTATGTTGTGTACATGATTGGTTAACAAAGGCTAGCTGGCATTCAACATATGACCCACTTTAGTTGGTCTAGATTCTTTAAAATATGAAGTACTTTTTAATTTGGTATTTGTCTACACCATTAGACACACTGTTTGTTTATGACTTACCATCTTAAAAGAGAAACAAAAGTGGGCCTAGAACACCACTTACCGTGAAGGGTTGGTTCTTTTTTATGATTACTGAACAACAACTTTAACTTTATCAAAGAGGCTACTCGCAGTAATAAAAGCTCTAGATATCTTCCTCTTTACTGTAGTTGCTCCATGGGACGGTGGTGGACACATCAGTGGTCTTCCCCCACCGTCTGGGCCTCCCTCACAAGCTGACCCTCAACAACCTCACTGCTGAATACCTCAGGAGGATCATCCAAGAGAGTGGTGGGTCATCATGGATAACTACAGCCACCACACCGGTTTTCTTTGCATGTCCATTAAGTTTAAACTCCACCATACCTCTGAAACAAAATCTAAATTCAAATAAAGAAATGGTTCATAATCAGATTACAAAATTGTGTGAAGACCAGCAAAACGTATGTATTTCAAACAGTGTAACTGATTTATAGGTGTATTGTATGTTTTGGCAATGAGTACATTTGGTTAAATATACTGTATCAATGTTTCTCTCAGTTTGTGGCCATGACACTGCAGAAGACGCCGCTGCCTGCATGGAGCTTATGTTATGGAAGGTCAAAGAAGATGGAAAACTGAAAAAATGATGGAAATAAAACGATTATACATGCACGCGCAAACACACACAACAAATGTATGCTATTGTTCAAATTTGAATGTCATCCATTTGTGTAAAGCTCTTTTGGCTCTTTTCTGATGACATGGGAGGGCTGTTTATTTTTAGTTTAATTACATTATTTGATTTATGTTTGTTCAATTTTAATTTGCAGCCCATGTGTCCATGTCTGTATAAATATTACTAACTGCACTGTTGTGTGCTAAGAAAACCTGAAGGGGTGGGGTGTCATATGTATTTACAAAGTAAAGGCGCAGAATGAAATTCTTTGGCGTGTGTGTTTTTTTTTTTTTTTTTTTTTTTTGTTTTTAACCCCCCCCAAACAAGCTTACATCAGCCAATAAGCATTTAGCTTGAATTGTCAAATTGGCCTCAGGTGCAGTTACACAAGTAAGTGCACACCTGTCAACAATTGAAGGAATTACTAGTGATAAATGGAGGCGTAAACAAGACAGTTGTCTACATTTATTTGGATTAGAGGTTAACAATGTTTTGATGTTTTTCCTTCAGTTTCTCAGTGTTTGCTGACTTACTTCCGCAAGAATACTGGACTCTGCCCTAATTGGTTGTTTCAAAGTAGTGACAATTTTCTCAAGCCACAACTTTGAATCCAAGGCATTATGGTTACACTAGATGCTTTAGACTATCGGGACAACTCATGAATCCATTTGTGTTTTCACCAATCAATTCTTTAATAACTACATTTTAATTCACTCATTCAGTCTTTGCTTTCCTGTTTCTGCCACAGCACCTCCGGAAGCAGAAACTGCAGGTCTTGATGAATAGTAATAAGAGGAACAGAACTATGGTGAGGACGAAGACCAGCACATCCAGGCTGTGATACTGGTACCAGGTGAGCTCATGGGCCTGGACCCTCAGGTGCTCGGCCCCTTTATTTCTCATGGTGAACTCAATCCAGAATACTGCTTCATCCCGAGGACTCATTGGTCTGTCGTGGTATATGCTGGACAGCTGCATGACATTCTCCTTGTACCTATGAAAGTGGATTAATGTGTTATGTATTTTTAACTTAGACAAGCCAACATGAGGGCTAAAGGCCATTCAGTGGTTTGTAATCTCTTTGTGACCTTCAAACTCATATTACATTGGATAATGGCTCCTTTATGGTATGTTGTTGACCTTGCTTACGTAAGGCAAAATGGCAAGAAAATAATTTTTTAGTATTCTAAAACAGACAATGAGCAGATTGGTAAGAGATCTTACAAGTTCTCTGACGACAGCATTGATTGCTATATTAATAATGTGGAATCTCCAAAAAAGCCAAAATGGCAAAAAAAAATAAGCTTTAATTACCTTTAATACCCTAAAACTGACTTATCTTATCTGAGTGCAGATAAGTAAGAAAACTTACGATTTTTCACTTATGACAGCATTGATTGCATCTCTAAGATCCTCAGTCTTCATGATGTTCAAGTCCATGATAACTGCAGCTCCTTTGGCCTTAACATGAACCATGTTGTCCGGCTGGTCAGCGAACATGGGGATACCCACCATGGGAACACCGTGGTAGATGGCCTCATATATCCCATTTGTGCCACCATGGGTAACAAAAGCTCTGGTCTTGGGGTGACCTGATAGGATAGGGTAAAAAAAAAAAATCAGGAAACATAGATTACTCTCTCCCACCAAGATTTTGGAAATTCAGAAAGTGACCTCAAGGATTAAAGTGCCCCTTTAGTGCACCTTTTAGCCACTTTGTTATTGTTGATCCAAATTGGGCATAAGCAATTGGGCACGTAATCACAATTACATACAACTTCTTACATCTAAGCACATTTTAGTATATATTGAAAAGTGTCAAAGTATACAAAAGTTTATTAAACAACCCTTGATTGAGCGTACTGTTGATGGACACTTTTGTCCCACAGCGTAATAAAGGAAATGGTTTAGGATGGTGAAACGGCTCAAGAAACTATTTCAGGAACACATCGAAAAACAAGCAATAGAAAACTTATACAGAAAATTGTATAATTTATGGTATAAAATAGTTAAGTAGATTTTATTTGGTTTATGTTAACTGTGAAAGCGGTATACTATTAAGACTATCAAGCAATATATATGATGAATATGTCGTATGGAATTGGGACACAGCTGTAGTATGGGTGCATTTTTTTTTTTGCTTGCTTAGTTAAACTTCACTGGATAAAAAGTTCTGTACTGTCACTATTTCCATTCTGTGCTACTTTACACTTTATTCCAATACATTTCAGTGGATAATATTGTGCTTTTTACTTCACTACAGTTATCTGATAACTTAAATTAATAGATCCTTTACACAATCAAACTGATAATACAAAATATTTCATTTTAAAGTCAGTGTCATGAGGATTACTGTCTCAAAGGCCTCTTCAGTATCTTTTATAAAAGCTGAACTTACCCAGTAGGTCATTCTGAGGGATCCAGCTGTATATTCTGGTGTTGGTACCCACAGTCTCTGGTTCCTGCCCACTGTATTTCCACACTACCTATAAACAACAGTAAAAACATTTTTAGATGAACACGGTAACTTTATGTCATAATATACTGTATAGCAGTATAATTAATAACATATGCTAAAAAAATAAGGAAAATAGTTGTAAAGTACATCAGTAGTTTTATTTAGAAAATGTTAGATCTTTGTAAATGGTATATATTTTTTACACTTGCTACACATTACACTTGTTTGTCCTTGTTTTTAATCCTGTCCCAATATCCTGATTCAAACCCCCAAAAATGTCAACTTTATTGCCAATAACTGCAAATCATGAGGTACCGCTGACCTCCTCCTATATCATGAGCTGATTAACTTTCAATCCTGCAGGGGGGTTTTTGCCTTTTTATTTTTTGTTAATTACGTAACAGCACCTGATACTTCTGTTTCAAATGTTTTCAACTTTAAAAAAAAAAAAATAAGTAAAGATATCTGTCGCCAGTCAAATAGCATTACATTAACTATAATTTTGAAAAATAAAACCTAAGAGTCTCCTTCAACCTCTTAACAAGTTTTTAAAATCATTTGCCTGTAAACTGTACCACTATGACATTAGAGTGTAGGCGTCATTCAAGTTAATTCCAGTTGGTACTTCAAGATTGACCTCTGACCTTTTGTGGGATCTGAGCGAGAGCTGAGGCTATCATGTTTCCCTTCTCTGCGGTGATGTTCTTGATGAATGATCCCAAAGTGAAGACCACGATGCCAGCGTCTCCAGAACTCTGCACAAACTCTTCCATATCCTGCAAGAATAACATTTCAATGCAAACCAACCAGCATTTTCTTTTTTTTCATCAACATTAAAGGCTTATTCTCTTCATTGTTCAATTATTCCATCAGGTATAGTATATAGATAGTAGAGACAGCCTTACCTCTGGTAAAGGTTTAGCAGGTCTGCAGTGGATCCCGCCAACAAATTTGAAGTTAGGGAGGAAAGGACGAGGGAAATCAAAATCCCAGTAGGTTCGCATCAACCAGATGTCTGCTCTACTCATCGTCTCGCAGGCACTGGTGGGTTTTCCTGTCACAATGCAAAACTGATAAATGCCAACCGTCCATTGCAAAGAATCCCCAATACTTCAAATGAGATACCTAATTTTGAACTCACTTAGAATATCAAATTGTTGTTAGTGATTTGATGTGAAATCATTGTAATTAACCAAAATTAAATCATCATTGGACTTTATGTGGTCCATGAAAAGTGTGTTGTTTCTCACAGTGCTTCTTGTAGTTGAGTTGCTTACCTTTGATATCTGAGTAATATCTATCTAATTCTTTCCAAAAGATTTTATGTATCACGATATCCTGCAGTGCGTAGAAGAGGAAGTTCCACACTCTCTCCGAGAAGTCCATGTTGTCGGTCAGTTTGCTCATAGCGCCGGGGACAAAGGAAGGTGGAGCAGGTAGCTGACCACACATTCTCTCCCAGTTATGGGCAAGGGAAAAGCGCAGGGAGAAGACCAGGGGGATGCCCAAAATATCTGCTGTTAGGTCACTGCCGGGGTAGAGGGGATCAGCCAGGAGGAGGTCATATTTTTCCTCTTTCAGTCTCTTCATGATCCTTTCTGATTTCACCACACCATCCAAATATTTCAAAGAAAACTGCATGTCAACTTTCATCAGATCCATGTATTTGATGTAAAGCTGCAAGTAGCTCATATGATCCATCTCGTACATGGAGAAACGAAGGTACTCTTCCATGAACTCCTCTATGACCTCCATTGAGACAGAGACATTGAATGGTTCGTAGCGAAAGCGGGAAGGCTCACTGGTGTTCATGAACATTGTTGCGCTTGGGACCAGAACTGTCACCTGGTGTCCCCTGTCGATCAGCGTCTCCAGCACAGGCTTCATGTTAATCCAGTGACTACCTTCAGTGTACCACACCAAAATCTTCCCTCCATTTGCGCTACATGTCACACAAAGTACCAGCAGGACACAAATAGAGAGACGCTGCTCCAGCTTCATGGTGCCTCTTTGTCGAGGGAGAATCCTGCTGTGACCTGATACTTTTTCAAAGGTGCCTCTGGAAAAATAATCATTAACTAAACAAAGCTGAACTCTGGCACAAAAACAGACCCAGCCCACGTTAAAGATAAATGGTCATGGCTGTAAAGTTTACAGTCAGTAACCTGACTGCGCTAAAGGGTTTGTTATACTGAACGGTTCAGACTCTATTACGATTTTGTGATCTTGCGAGTTCAGCTGCCTTGCAAGGTTTACAGTTAGTATTAAATATCTATAATTGTTGTACTGTTCATTGTACTGACACAAAGAAAAGCAATTTGATACCATTCTCATACTCTATCACTAGAGGGCACACTTAACCTGTACTGTACTTGCAGTAAGGGTTTCTTTTCACTGCGGTCAATGTGCCACATGCTCTGTGAGCCAAATGTGCAAATGCGATAAAGCTGAGTATACCATAGTTTTAGGCTTTAAAATCATCCCAAATGCTTCAAATTGTTTACTATACTGATTTCACCATCAGATCATTACATGGATTTTAAACCGTTAATAATGCCAGGTGGAATGTAGACCAGCCACAGTTGCTGTGAGGGACAATCTGGATTTTAGGTGTTTATAAAAGACTAGACTAGAGAATTCCATAACTTTATTTTCTCATATGACCTTCTCAAATGAACTAGCGGGTAAATGTCTGATTTATTTATTTATTTTTTTGTCTTCACCTGTTGCACACAATTCCCTCAGTCTGGATGGGGTTGTGTCGACCATCCCCAGACGTCCCAGAAATATGATCTGTCCTGGGGTC